CAAACCTCGCTTAAACGTTTGCGATGCAAAATGAAAGTAGAATGACGGGAATCGCCCATCACTCATTGGCAGACGTGAGCCAAACGTCGCTTAAACGTTTGCGATGCAAAATGAAAGTAGAAAAGTACTCTGGAAGGTCAATGGAAGCAGCAGCAGCAGCAGCAGCAGCAGCAGCAAAAGCAGCAACAACAACAACAACAACGAGAATGAACGCTTCCTTTTTAGGACAATATCAAAAGGACAGTTGCAGTTCTTGGTTTGATAATAGCCTGATAGAGAAAGGAACTTCTTGACACCTATACAAAAGGGTCTGGATGCTCAGTATAATACAGGCAATGATTAATTTTGCAGCGCACTAACGTCAATACACAAGTGCCTTGAGTTCGTGTCAGGGATGTGCCGCCCCCTGCTGGCCGTTTTCAGCAGTCGTGAACGTCACAGCTCGTCACTGATGTTAACGTACGCTTGTCAGCAAATCGTCTGTCACATGGATGAATGAAAATGCCACTCATCTGTTTTATCCTCCTCCCCAAAAAGAACATTTTTGTGACCACAGGTGTTAGTGAATTAATTAATAAACAACTAATTCAATAAAGTATTGAGGCGACATTGTTTCAACTTCAAAACGTCCAAATCCTCCGCTTTCAGCCTCTCAACATTACCGTAATTATTCACAAACCTCGACATGAAAAACAACTGATTATCTTTTGTGTTCTACTTTTACTTTGAAAGACAATAAACCAGAAACTGAATCCATTTCAAAAAGGGTGGCAAGTCCCTTTCCAATTCTTAATGTAATTAATCGAATACTTGATCGAAAAATCAATTCTAAAAAATAGGTGACGTCCCAGCCCTATTTGTAATACGCATCAAGAAAATTTTGCAGTTGTATCGTACTTCATTAACGATGGGGATTTAGTACTCCTTCACAATTTAATAAGTCCAAATAAAAGATGTATCAAGTTGATACATCTTTTATTTGCACTGCAATCAATAGGTTGATACTATCAACCTTTTGATTGCAGTGCTTGTAGTTTTCAGTGGTGTGGAACTCCACTGACTCATACAAGTGAGAGCTGTTTCTCAAACTTGGTTGACCTCATGGCGCTCTTGTGAAGAGCAGTAAAATGTCACCGCATCCAGCATTTTTCCTGCACTCTTATCTTTTGGAGTCAAAGAGACGCTCTAGTGACGACGACGACGACGACGAAGACGGCGGCGGCGGCTGCGAGGAGGAGTCCCGTCAAGAGACACTCAGTGGCCCACTCTCTTCGAGTGTCGCCATGTTGTCAAAAGTCATCCTGTCAGTCGTCAGGAAGTCGGCCGTCTGATGCCGACTATGTCGGCTGTCAGTCCGCATCACACGCAGCAAAACAAAAGAGTTGGAAAAACTGACAGTGTTTAATGTAATTGTGTGCTTCAAGTAAAACGTTTCTACCGTCATCGCCCACATATTTGGGGTTGACTATTCACAAATTCAGCAATTATTTTTTTTAAATTTGGAATGTAGCCTCGACTACTTGCTTCAAAATATAAATAATAAACAACTCTCCTATACAGATTAGTGTGCTTTCTTGGATGCAAGATGCTAAAAACAAAAACAAAAAAAAATGAAAAAGTACACACAGTTTAAAGTGCTCGAGCCCTGTCACAAATAGTAAAATCCTCGAGTAATTGACAACCACGCAAAAAGGTTTAGAAGTGCAGACAGGTGCCACAAGATGGTGGCAAAGCATTACTTTTGTTGAACCAAAGCTTCGCAACTCACTTCAACATAGTTCCTGGGCTGTAAGTTGCCACAATTTAGCACTGCCTCAGCTAAACATGTTCTCTCTGAATTGATGTGATACACGATGACCAAGCGAAAAATGTCAGGGAGGAACTAAATTTAACCTGGGTTGTTAGTGGAAATTACGGAAAGTCTTTGTAGTGTGCAAAAAAATAAAATCATTTTAAAGCAATTTATTTTTCACCATAATGCTGCGAAATGAGTTTTAAATCATCTAAAATGGTTTTGTAATTGTTGTTTTACAGGTCAAATTCATAACATTGGTGATTGCAAACATTTTTAGGGGGGAAAAAGCTGTATTATCTCTCTGAAATGGTCATACAGTATTTTCAATCAACTATCTGACTCACGATAAAATGTCAAAGGCAATTTTAGCTTGCTAACGGAAGGAAACGTCGAGAACTGACTCACAGAGGCAAAAGGACAGGAGGAACTGAACAGTGACCCATTTAAAAAAAAAAAATAAAGTACTTTTTTACAATCCACCACCCACACTGAAATTTCCTGTTCCCATTAGTATTGTGATTTGACATCACAAAACCAGGATGACTCCTAATATTTGAAAAAAAATGTAGGACTCCCAGATTATAAAGAATTTTTGTATAAATCATGAAGAGATTTTGCGTTTGCTGCAAAAATTATTTGCATACGGTAATTTTAGAATAGTATAACCTTTCTAAACTCATCACGTTTGATTTTTAGAAAAGGTGGGACAGTGTGAGCAAGATCATGAAATACGTATCGTTCCGTTTTGCAAAACCACAAGTGCATCTATTGTTGTTTTGTGAATCGATCCCCACAATATGACAAATCAGGGAATAATAAATATGATGTAAGGCTTCATGATTGATATTGCTTTCGTTTTGGAAATTGTACATTTTATGTGACAGATATATTGTTTCCATTTTAATCTCTCATCTCCCATAACGCCAAGGATTTAAGGTTCAAAACTCATTGAACCCTTTTATTTTTTTCTGATTCCCCAAAAGCTTCAATCAAGGATTTAAGGTTCAAAACTCATTCAATCCTGACATGATGCATTTTTCACATGATATCCCCCCTTTTATTTTTTTCTGATTCCCCAAAAGCTTCAATTTGTTTTTCCTGACGTTAAGAGACGATGAATTTAGAATTTCTACTTGTCTACCACACTTTTTTTTTTTTTTTACCCAAACAAAGAACATTTGTGTCATCCACAAAAAAAGACAACAAAAAAATAAACTAGCACTGCACATTTCATGCATGTGTAGTATAAAAGGTTTTGGACCAATCACAATTGTGAATTTGGCCATTCAGTTCCTTGTTGGAAAACAGCAAGCTGTGGGGAAATGTATTGAACAGTTTTGATGATTTGCTGTCAACATTCGGCTTGCGCTCAAAGACTGTATCCCCATTCAAGTCAAGCCAAGATGATAGTTTACATCTCACTCTCTAAACTATGAACGCCCTCGGCCAGAAACATCAGCCCTCAGCTCGAGCGTAAACACCTTTATTTATTCCAGTCCAAGTTTTGCGTTTCGTTATGTCCTGTAAGGACGTAGCAGACACCGAAACCCAAGTCGAGGGAAAGTACCCGAATGGAGACAAGTAGCCTATCCAACCGGTTATATGGAACCCCCCTCATTATGGTTTTTATATGGAGCTGTAAATATAAAATGAGCGGGTGGTCTTTGTGGTTTCTGCCACTTTGCACAGCATCCAAAGCCTTCGGGCGAGCCTTACTTAAGAACGTATGCAGGATGTTTCGGTGACAGCCATTAGCGGCATCTCACGCTGTCAAGTTCGCTTTTCGAGCCCCAAGTTGGCTCGAGCTCTGTCTCGCCTCAAAGGCCCAACCCCTTGGCAGACAGCTGCAAAAACAGCCAGGGCAGGCTGCCTGTCTCGAAAGAGAGAGGAGTTATGAAACAAGCCGCAGGGACGGGAGCGGCTCCGAGTAATCGAGCCGAGCGCCTGCGAGGCATGTTAAACGACTATACGGGCGAAACGGGCAGAGAGTGTTTTGGAAGAGAAGCGCGGGGCCTGACCGCCCCCTCAGCCACATGTCGTGGTGCTGCATTACGGCCCATTACACACCAGTGAGACATGGCGCTGCAACTGCTTCCATAATTAGTCAAGGGACTTTCAGGTTGTCATAATAAAACGTATCCAGTATGTACTAAAAATCATTATTTCTTGTAATGATTTCTAGGGGAGCAACACATGCGAAGTCTTACTTTTGGCACAGCATGGGAACTTAAGTCAACGCCACGGAGAGTCCCTTCTGATTAAAAAACATGACAATTCAAGGACTGCACAAAACTGCTGAACGAGAAACCAATGTGAAATGCAAAAACTCATTTTCTAGATTTAATTTTTTTTTTAACAGAAATCAACTCACTCAAAAATTTGAGGTACTTTGTCCAGCATATCATTCCAAATCTGCAGAGAAAACCTATTTGGCCTACTCACGTTGTAATGTAGGAAAGTATAAGACCCTGTGTGAGCGCGACAAAGAAATGTCTCCCATCTAGTGGTGATTGTTGGTATTACACCTTAAAATTAAAATCAACCCCTGCATATTTGCAGCTTGGAACCTGTAGATTTGCACATTCGCATATTTTTCAATATTTTTTTCAGATGTTTGATTTCTACCGTTTTGGGAATAAACATATTGAATCATCAACAGCATTTTATAAAGACATTTGGTGGTTTGTTAAAAAAAAAAAAAGAAAAGTGTCCCTGCCCCCATTATTATTTTTTTTTCTTAATTAATCAAGGGACCGCTCTGAGTGTGGTCACGGGTAGCATTCTGCTTGCAAGGCGCCTGTTGCCAATCTCTGACTTGGATGGATGATAGTCAGGTCCATAGATCCAGAAACCTTGCTCAACATATTCATGAAAAAAAATAAATCAGCAACAAACCTCCACAAAAAAAGTTTCATTTCTGTTTCATTGTGCTTTTTACATATTATTTACATTAGACGGCCATCGCAAAATGGCGTCGGCCGTCGATGGCAATTGAACACCTTGATTGAATGTTAGCCTGCAAATGCTAATCAGTGCATGACATACCACGAGCCTCCATGTACGCCAGTGGGATTTGTGTCACCCTGGCCCCCCCCACTGAAAAATTTCCGTCTACGCCCCTGGATGAGTCGAATACAAGCCAGGGGAAACTTGCCTCCAACAAGTCCAGTCAAGTTTCATCCCGCAACCTTGTGGCAAAAGGCAGCCTCAAAACCAAATAAGCTGATGAACGAGTTCAGTCCGGGCAGATTTTACGGAAGCAGCAACATCTCGCTCAGGATTGAATTAGTTCGAGAAGATTCACAAGTTAGCTACACTCTCGAAAGAGCGAAAGGGTTCAAGAAGAGCAAGAAGACATGCTATGGAGGACTTGTTAGTTTGTACCTGTACAGACAACATAACTCTAAATGCATGTTATGAAGGACATATTTGTAAGTACATACGACTTTGACTGATAGCACCGCAAACACAATTCAAGTATGTACAGTTAGTTCGGCGTAGCAAAGAAAGTCATAATTAATGAAGCCGATAAAGATACATTACGTCTTGTTTATCACGTCATGAGATCGTAGGAGTGAGGCTCAAAAGCGAGGCGGGAGTTCAACATGGCAACGCGCATGAGGAGCATTTAGTAAACAGTGCAAGAGGTTGCTAAGTGGAGGGGAGCTGCGGTGTTCCAAAGACTAATCACAACATTTTCCTTTCCATTTTCTTCCGTCTGACCTGTTTTGTGCCGGGACCCTGTCGCATTTCTGCCGAGCATATTGGAGTCAAGCCTGTATTCGAACCGCTTCTCCTCACAGTGACAGAAAAGTCATAACGTGACTTCATGACATGAAGTTGTGGTTTTACAAGACAAATTTTAATTTTGTAGGAGAATTACAAAAAATAATTCAACTTCAAAGAGCTGGAATATTTTCAAAATAAAAGATCTAGTCAAACTTCTATGAGAGTAAAAATGTGTCAATTTAGCTAGCTTACCGAACGACTTTTCATACCGATGTTTTGCTATTTGACTTTCTTGACTTTTTTTTTTTTTTGCAGTGCAGTTTGACTCATAGGAAATGTCAAAATCTACGTGATTTTGTGTTCCTTATCTCGAACGCAAGCAAAGAGGAAACAATTCCGTAACCACCCCGCTAGTCTCAATAAATCGCTCTTTTTCAATTGATCATCCGATCTACTGGGAAGCAAACTGTGGGCGGGAGAACGGCGCCACTTCCGTACTTACGACAACTGAACGGCAACTGTCTGGAGCCACTCTTTGCGTCTCTGTCAGCTACTCAATGATTCATCCAAAGTATTACCGAATTTTTAACAGCATCCATGCATGTCAACCGCACTTTCTTTTGCGGCCGCGGGTATGACCGAGCGGATGTGTTTTCGCACATTATCGACTACTCTCGATCATGGGATCAATACTAAAAAAAAATCTCCTTTGGGAGCAAGTGCATTAGCCCAAATGAGCTGCACTGTGACAAGTGGACAGCTCACAAATTGCTGTGTTGCTGATGCAAATGTGAACCGAGATTGCTAAAAGGGGGCAAATGCGAATAACAGCACTCATACTCGTGATGATGATTCAAAACTGGAATGGGAGGGGGGAAAAAAAAAGACTCCATTGAGTCGCTAAGTCATGTTCTTAGTGTTTTAAAAAATATAATAAAGATGATGATGATAATAAGGATGCGTTTAATGAATTTATTTCAACAAGGATTCAGAGCGTTTGATTCGCTCTCGTCATATTTACAGATGAAATATGAACATACACAGCACACAGTCTATCTGCCTCCGTGTCAATCAAATCCACCAAACAACGTCAACCTGCCTCTATCCGGCCCAAAGTTGAGTCTACTTTCCGTCACCAAATTGTCCGGTGCGCCAGGGGACGTGTAAAAGAAAACACCCTTGGTCCACCGGAACGCCCACCACGGCGCAGCACGGTTTTTCCAAACACGCTCACCGAGACTTGCGCTGACACGAAAATGAAGATGCGGCCATATTTGCGCCAAGCACCCATGCGCCCGTCTCCCGAAATAGAACCCTCAATGTTTTTTAGACCATCTGTTTATTAGTCATCGGGCTACATGTATTTCCTGGAGAATGATGTCAGACGTGACACCAAATCTGTGATTTGAAGTCATCCGATTGAATTGCTCCTTGATGATTTCAACCTTTGCTTGCTCACTAGCAGGATGAAGCGATGACAGATTCAATCCACACCCAGTCAATAAATTTGATCAATTCATTGTCGAGTAGTGATTCTCAGTCTGTGGTACTCGTGTCACTCGTGTTATTTCGGCCCGCACGAGTGATAGGGTTAGAGTTTGACAAACCGTGTCATGTTACCGTGACTTGCAATATATTTTTTTTTCATAAACACTTAGGCCTATGACGCTACTGTATTTCGATGGTTGTTTTTATGGTGGTACTTGGAGCGCTCACTATTTTTCAAGGTGGTACTCGGTGCAAAAAGTCTGCTGTAGATTAGTAAAGATAATTTCAGATTAAAAAAAAAAAAAACTGGCACAATGTGAGCCTCTACGGAAGTCTGACAAGAATCAAGTTGAAAGATTACCCCGAAATGTTAGATTTTTGGGAGGGGAAAAAACGTGAAGCATGTTACGTAATTCCACAAGAGTAAAACCATACAGTTACGAGAAGTTGTAATCTTAATTTGATAACAATAAATTTATATCAGGGGAATTTTTTCCAACTATTAAAATAAACAGAGCTGCGTGAAGGTGAGGACGGTTGAGATGTCTCAAGTGAAACACGAGTTCAACTTTCAAAAGCAAAATTTTTGTTTGACTAATTTCTGCCCGACTTTGATATTCTCCATTAAAAAAAAAGATGTCTCAAGTGAAACACGAGTTCAACTTTCGAAAGCAAAATTTTTGTTTGACTTCATTTCTGCCCGACTTTGATATTCTCCATTAAAAAAAAAAATCATTTTCGTTTTGTTTTAAAACTTTTACTTGACGTAAGTTGTTATATTATTGTATAATATTCCACAAATGCAAATAAAGGCCTCCCTTATAATAGACAATTCCCACCCATTTGCAATTGATTGAATTAAAATACAGATAATTTCTTATATTATTGTATAATATTCCACGAATGAAAATAAAGGCCTCCCTTATAATAAACTACTCCCACCCATTTGCAATTGATTGAATTAAAATACAGTTAAGTACAGTAACTAAATTCACCCTGTCATGCACAAGTAATGATAACTCGTAACCTGATAACCCGATAAGCTGCAGTACAGTAACTAAATTTGCACAGGAAATTCAGCCATTAACCCTGTCATGCACAAATAATGATAACTCGTAACCTGATAACCCGATAAGCTGTCCACTGTAGTAACCTGCTGTCACTGAAAGGGTTAAATGTACTTTCATCGCAAAAATATGAATCCATTGAAACATAAAATAAATGTATGATGAGTAACATACCAAAAACGCAGACGTGATGTTCACTGAATAGAGAGGAAAAACAGAAAGTGAAGTCATATTTTTTGGGCAGACATCACTTCAGCTCCAGTTTCCTTCAAAAGAGCAAGTCACAGATGAGCTGGGCGGGAGAAGGGGAAGGAGGGAGTCTCGTCCGAGAGCGCAGGCGGGCATCTGCACATTTCACATCTGGATGGACTTTAGGCAGGGGGGAAATGGCTCTTCAGACGACAAGGTAAGTACTTTCAGATTGCAATCGTATTGAAGTCATATTGCAGCGTGAAGCGTACGGCGACTGACCGGGGAGTCTTTGATCTGACCTTTCCTAAACTTAAGCAAACAGTACCTTGCAATCAATACACACCGAAAAAGAAGAAGAAGAAAAAAAAAAAGACATTCTTGGAAAAGTGAACTTTTTAAACATGACTGCTGCAGAGTGCATGATTTTATTATAAACACTTGTGAAATACTAATTTGGTGTCTACCGCGTTAAGTGTTGTTGTTGTTGGGTTTTTAGTTTCTGTAATATTGCTGGTGTCGGCTTAATGGCCTCGAGTCAAAACAGATTGCCGGACGAGCAGCATCATCTCTCATAATGTGCTGTACCCAATTTAAAGCCCCTCAAGAGAATTACGGTCGGCAGACCCCGAGCCAGTTGCTCGTTACTGGAGCTAATTCCAATCTGCTGTATATGGCGTGGGCGTACAGTGTGCACGAGAACGCACTAAGAACCGTTAGTACAAAAACACACGGTGTAATTGTGACACTGCAATTGACAGCCCGCAGCCAACGTCATTTTTTTTTTTTTACACGTGGCGTAAAACTTTCTGTGGCTACATCAGAGCAACTAAAACGGGAGCTAGTTTTGCGATAAGAGTCGCAAAGATGCTGTCTAAAACAACGGGCCATGTGATGGACAATTAGGGTTAGGGTGTATCATTTTTAGGTACTTTGCAGATTAATAAAATGATCTTTCATATTAAATCGAGCCTCATTTGCATGGAGTTTAGCGTCAGCCAAACTTATGAAACTTAAAGGCCGCGTGATGAATCTGATATTATAATGGAGTTTAATTTATTGCTTGTTTGTTAAAAATATGACATGGCAGGTGGGCCTTGAAAAAAAAAATCGCATATTATCATTGCAATTTTCAAAATCGCTCAATAGAATCCTTTGGCAATTATCCTATTTTAATACAATTATTTGGCTAATTGTGCCATTGAGGTTTATTTTCAGCGTTGAGAGTAAGGGAGGGCGGCCCGGTGATTAGCGCGTCGACCTCACAGTGCAGAGGTTCCGGGTTCGATTCCAGCTCCGGCCTCCCTGTGTGGAGTTTGCATGTTCTCCCCATGCCTGTGTGGGTTTTCTCCGGGTACTCCGGTTTCATCCCACATTTCAAAAACGTGCATGGCAGGCTGATTGAAAACTCAAATTGTACCTAGGTGTGAGCGCGGATGGTTGTTTGTCTCTGTGTGCCCCGCGATTGGCTGGCAACTGGTTCAGGGTGCCCCCAGCCTACTGCCCAAAGTCAGCTGGGATAGGCTCCAGCACTGCCCGCGACCCTTGTGAAGATAAAGCGGATCAGAAGATGGATGAATGGATGGATGGATGGAGTAAGGGATCAAGGGCTGCGGCTCAGAGCTAGTGGTTAGGTTTTAGAGTTCGCATTTAAAGTTAGGGTTATGGTTTATACACAAGATTTAAGGTTGGGGTTGATTTAAGTTTGACAATTATGGTTTGGGGTTGATCGTTTGGGTTAGCGGTTGGGGTAAGGATTTATTACGGCAGTTTGGGATCGCAAATGGTTGAAGATTGTGTCTCGGCTCCCAGATCGTCACATTCTCGCACGCTCGGCTGCGAACAAGCTCCTCCGTTCTAGTCATGTGGGCCAAGCCTCGAGAAGTCTCACAAGCTAACTGTCAGTTTAAATCGGCCTTTGCTTTGCCCCACAGAATACCGGAGCTGAGCACCGCGTTCCCCAACGGAAGCCAAAATTACACCGTTGAAAAGAACTGCATCGATCCAAACGTGTGGGAGGCGCTCACCAGCAGCCAACCCATCTACATGGGGGTCGTCACCGCGCTCGGAGTGGTGTTGAACGCCTTCGTGCTGCTGGTGTTCTGCCTGCACAAGAAGGCGTGCACGGTGGCCGAAATCTACCTGAGCAACCTGGCGGCTGCCGACCTCATCCTGGTGTCCTGCCTTGCCTTTTGGGCCGTCAACATCGCCAACGATTTCGACTGGCCTTTCGGTCTGGCCATGTGCAAAGTGGTCAACACGGGTATCAAGATGAGTGCCTACGGCAGTATCTACTTCCTGGTTCTGGTGAGCCTGGATCGCTACGTGGCGTTGGTTCACCCGATGTCGCACGGGCGAATGCGTCGGCCCAAGTATGCCAAGCTGGGTTGTTTGCTGGTGTGGGGCTTCAGTTTGTTCCTGGGCATCCCGACGTTGGTCTTCAGGGCGGTGAAGTACTTCCCGCAGTACGGCGTGCGCGCTTGCGTCTTGGATTTCCCAAGCCGCACAGTAATGCTCCTCTGCGACGCGATGCTAATTTGCGTTAGCTTCATCATCCCGATTGCCATCATCTCCTTCTGCACCGTCAAGATCATCCAGGCGTTGAGCAAGCGCTCGATAGAGAGGTTCAACGGCGAGAAGAGCGAGCAGAAGGCCACCACGCTGGTGTTGGTGGTCCTGGTTGCCTTCCTCATCTGCTGGTTACCGTTTCACATCGTCACAATACTGGACGTGCTCATAAAAGCCGGCGTGATGCGAGGGTGTCAGCTGGAAGCAGCCGTAGACATTTGCAGACAGTTTTTTGACTACTTGGCCTTCTTCAACAGTATCGTCAACCCCATCCTCTACGTCATCGTCGGCAAAAACTTTCGGAAAAAGGCTCGGGAAGTGTGCAAGCAGTGGCCAGTCGGTAACGCGACGACAGTGTCCACGCGTTCAAACACTTCTGCAACACTGAGGACGTTTACATAAAAATCGAATTCATCAGAGGGGAGAACTCTCCTTGTCATAAAAGGAGGGCGATGGCGCCCAAAAACAGATTTTCATCTCAGCCGAGAACATTTTTCATCTGGAAACGCCTTTTTGCTGGCACTTACTACTTTTAGATAACATATGTCACTGTACTTGACTCTCTCTTCCCTTCTAACTCGCTGGAAAACGAGAATTTCTAATCAATGTCGAGAGGACATAATATAATACAGACGCAGAAAAAGAACAGAGCAAACATCATCCACAACATTGACATGCAAAGGCAAAATAATTCTCGATTGTATGATGGAAGTGCTACACGGTGAAAATGTTTTTGTCAAGACGCCGCAAAATCCAACTTTGAGCATGCTAGCGAGCTACTTTTGTGATTGTAAAATCGGTCGGCTTGCCTTGCAGTCAGTTGATGAAGGATAAATTCAAACGTCTGCAGTAATTTCGACACGAACGGTCAGAGGAAGCCCTGGTCAATGCCTTTCAAGGTATCTGAACGTTCGAGCAGGCAAGAATGAATGACTCACTGCCCCGTGACAAAGTTTCCAGTTGTGACGCGCCATCACGTTGCTTTTTTGCTTTTTTTTCCCCCCAAAACACCACAAGCAAGCGACCCACTCAGTGTTGACTCAGAGGTCTGTGGGAGGGTGCACAGGCACTCCCCAAAATAAAGGCTCGGAATACCAAAAAGGCAGTAAGCCTTGAACCACATGCCACTGGAGTAGATGAGGTGACCTCAAAGTCGAAAATATGGCAAACATTTAAAAAGTTTGTCGCATGTATTTTTCCACGATTGTTGCTTATATAAGATCAGATGTGCTTGTACCAGATCATCTGTTAATATAAATAATCTGACTCAAGCAAATGACTTCTCCTATTTATTATTAGAATTGTGATGTAAATGAAATACCGAACATGCATTAAAGCTGTGTCCGCACGATCCAAAGGTGATTTTGGGTTCCTTTTGTTTCATCCTCATTCGAGCAATACAAAAATAAAACCAATCAAATATTGCTCTTAACAAATGTTATGTTTTTTTAATTAATATAATAAATGATCATCATTCATCTTGCGTTGCGGAGGGATGGTAGTAATGCATTACAACCGATAATGATCTGTATTGTTTTGTCTTTTCCCTCTATCCTCTCAGTCCGCTTTCAAACCTTGTTCTGTCTGACTGCATTTTCCCCAAAATATTCATCACAGTTTAAATAACTACAAATGCGGAGTATATCAAATTGCCCCGTGGCAGAGAAAAAGGTACAGTATACCGGTTCGCTCCACTCAACGTGTCCGCACAACTAAATCCGACACAAACAAAACCGCCCACAGAAATTGGGTGGGTTGTGTCAGGAAGGGCGTCTGGTGTGAAAATTGTGCCAAACACAACATGGGAGTGACTTGCTGTTGGCACCCCTGACAGGAAGTGCTGCCACAGTTACCTTGAAAAAGGAACTTGATTACTTGACATTGCCAATTACCTTATTTTAAGTAACTAAGTGAAATTACAAGATAACTCTTTTTTTGACTTAACATAAGTACTGTAATTATTTGTATTTCTTTTTTTTAATACGTCTGTGGATTTCACTTAACATTGTGAGGAAATGGAGGTGCAGTCTGCATCATTGCCACAAGATGTTGCTCGATTGCACATACTCGACTGGACATTGCATTGGGCCTTGAGACGTTTTAATGCTAAACCACCGATTCGGGGAGTGTCACCATGGATTTAAGTGACTGCAGTTATCAAAGTGTCATTTATAAATTCCAAGTGAGAAAATACTACTTCCTTTTTTTTTCAGTCAAATGTAACTGTTCAGTTTTCTTAACGGTTTGATAGTTGGTAGCGGTGAACATTTCTCCATTTAGGGCCGTGCAGTAATTCAAAGTTTGGGGGCTGTTCATAAACAAGCTGCCGGATCGGGGGATGTGCAAGAATGCCGCTCTATATACAAAAACGCTATCTTGTTCCATTGCTCCTTACACTCGGCGTGTGAACACACGAACAGCTGGATAACTATGGTAAGAAATTCGATTATATTATATTATTTTTATTGACCGAGCTAAGTCTTCACTACCAGCGGTGCGGCGAGTATTTATGGCAATCATGTGACTGAGAAGAGGAAACGTCTGTTGATTGAGTCAGCATATTTAGTCATAAATTCAGTGTATGACTAAATCACGTGGCAAATATTTTAAGACTTTGAAAGCGATGCGAAAAAGCTCAACTTGCCTTGACAGCACTTTCGATACCAAAATACTGCGTCGTGAGCGCAAAAATTTACAGCGTCCAGCTCAACCGAACGTTGTGCTCGATCAACAAATGGCCTCTTGCGTTGTGTTTGAGCTCATCTGGTCTAAGATTTTTCAATGTTGCAGAGGAGCTAAGTTTAGCCTGGGTTGTTACCACAGTCATAGAGATTCTTGCGTGTGTCCAGTTTTTTTCTTCCTGCTTAATAGCTATTAAAAAGCTCAAGCTAGCAAACAACAGAGGTCTCGTTATTGCTGAACAATTAATTTTTTATGGGTTACAAAGCAGTGACATACACGCCAACATCCTTGCACTCGCCGTGGATTTTTAAAACTTTAAATAATCTTTAAATCACAGGTGTCAAAGTGAAGGCCCGGGGGCCAAATCTGGCCCGCCACATCATTTTATGTGGCCCGCAAAAGGAAATCAAGCATGTCAAGTTCCATGATGCTTGCTAAAGTCTGAACCAAAATTTCAAATTGTCATATGTAATCCACATTCACAGTCATTGTTCTTGACTTCTGTTTTTAAAACTAGTTCTTTGTTGTACATTCTGTATGTAATATGTGGAGGGGATTAAACATTTATATGGTTTCCCAAAATTCATAACGGCCCTCCAAGGGAAGGGTACCTTCAGTTATTCGGGTTTTGTTATTTGCGGAAGGGCTCAGTCCACATTACGGCAAATTACTGCACTGTTAAACAGTTGCGTGTGTTTTGTTGTTGTGAAGACTATGGAGTCGGTGACACTTCAGCCGGAGGCAGCTCAGTGGGCTGAAAACAGCAGCCTTTCAAAGTCCCTCACATCTCTGGAGTTCGTCACCGTGCGCACCATTGTCCCTCCTTACATCATCACCGTGTCCGTGCTGGGCCTCGCCTTGAACGCCTTCGTCCTGTGCGTGTTTTTTGCGCACAAGGATCGCCTGACGGTAGCCGAGGTCTACCTGGGCAACCTGGCTCTGGCCGACTTCGCTCTTTTGTGCGGCCTCCCCTTCTGGGCCGCCAACATCCTCAACAGTTTTGACTGGCCGTACGGCGAGGCCTTGTGCAAGCTGGTCAACTGCGTCATGACAGTGAACCTCTACACCAGCGTCTACACCCTTGTCATGATCAGCGCGGACCGCTACCTAGCGATCGTGAGGACCATGAAGGCGAGGTGGCTGAGACGGACTCGGTACGCCAAGGTCATATGCGTGTTCCTCTGGATATTCGGGCTCTCACTCAGCACGCCGACCATGCTGCACAGAAAAGTGATGTACTTTGAAGAATTCCAGATGACGGCCTGCATGTTGGACTACAGCCACGGTAGCTCGTGGAAGTTAGCCAACCAAGTTCTGCTGAACGTCGTCGGCTTCGTCATCCCGACTCTGGTGATCGTCTCCTGCAGCAGTTCTATCGTCAAGGCTTTGCGACAGAGAAAAGAGAGCGTTGGACTTCAGGATGTTAATGACACGAAGGCCACAGTTCTGTTGTACGCCGTCACGTTGCTGTTCATCCTTTGCTGGGGGCCCTACCAGGTTTTCACCTTCCTCGACACCCTCTGTGACATCCACGTGCTGGACGTCACAGTATGGTCCCACGCTCTGGACGTAGGGGGACAGGTCTCGGCTTATCTCGGTGTCCTCAACAGCGCTCTCAACCCTGTTCTCTATGTCCTCTCTGGGCAATACTTCAGGAAGAAAGTTAGTTCTATCTATAGACGGGCTCTGCGTAGTCGTAGAGGATCAGACATTACCACCTATCAGCGCTCCGTCGCCTCCACTTACATTCACAGACCTGAGCAGATTAAACCTGTTGTCATTTAGGACGATGGAAAAAAATATTTCTATCTGCATCAATTGTTGAATGGTGTCATGGTATACTATATAATATGCTATGGTATGATTTATGGTACAGTTGAAGGAATTGTATGATATATGTTATGGTACGGTAGAGTATGTTATGATGTTATATACAGTCTACTGTATGTTATACAATATGTTGCTTTGTATATGGCACCGAGTGAACATTGCACTCATATGGCACGGTGGGAACAGTACTGTATATTCAATGTATCTGTTGTGCAGCACTTTGACCACATGGGGTCGCTATGATCTAACGCGCACAAGTGTCAACAGTGACGTGTGGGCATCTTGTCTTTTGACAAAGTCATCATGCAGCAGACTCATGCAACACAATGGACTGATTCCAAAATTATTTTTCACAGACACCACACACAAAACAGTGTGTGTGTATGTGTGTGTGTGTGTATATATATATATATATATATATACACGTAGTGATAGCACGATATTATTTTTTCCCTGCCTGATATCAGAATCGATAATAGCCTTAAAAAAAAAAAGTCACTGTCAGTCGGAGGGGAATTACTCTTCTTCTTCATACCCACGTGGCAGTAAGTAGATGGCACGGTGATAGCAACTATCTTTATAATGCCCTGTCCCAGCTTTTTTAGAATGTGTTGCAGGCATCACATTCAAAATTAGTGGCTATTTGCACCCAACAAGAAAAATAAATAAAGTTGATCAAGTTTGAACATGAACTATCATTTTATTCTGTTTTGATTTTTACTCAACATCCCAACTTCCATGGAATTGGGGTTAGTATATTAACACAGCTAAAACGGTTTATAAAAAGGAAGCAGGGTGGACACAAATGCCCAGCATGGAGCCCTTAAGGGTTATGTTCCTCTCAAGTTTTTTTTTCATACCTGGATGTAGTCAACATGATTTATTCCCTCGACAGTACACACGTGACGCTTCCTAATGAGAAATAGCCCGGTGAGAAGCATGTGTTAGGCCATGTGAGCGCTTTCTCTTCTCCTCCCTCCACCACCCTTCCCCTTTTCCATCCTTCCATCCATTGCACATAATGTGCTTCACCTGGATAACGGCAAAAGAACCTGCATCAGCACAACATGGTGGCACTTCAGCCTCAATATTCCATTTGTGGTCACCTTCCTCTGTCCTCACGTCTTCTGCACACACTCATCTTGTGGCAATAGAGATAAGTGATGATAAATAGGTTTTTGTCGTACTGATAAAGTCTTATCTGCACAGGTGACCATGATCTGTCTATGGAAATTTGGGTTTTCTAGGGTGGCACTAATAGGCAAAAACTACGGCTCAAAAAAAAAAGGGGGGGGGAGCAGATGGGTAAATATTGCACGCGAGAGGCATGTGATGAAAAAAATTACATAATAAAAGCTAATAATAGCATCATTCAATTTCATGGATAGCATTGGCTTTTCAAGTGTGTTGGTTGTGTTTAACAATTTCTATGATTTTAAATTACATTCCTTTTAAACTTCATGTACTTCGAAATTTGTTCTAGGCTGAAATAAGCTTTTGTGATTCACAACATTTTGAGAAAAATGCATTAGTAAAATTATTTTGTATATATTTATGGCTAGATTTTATGCTATTGTTTTATTAATTGCCTGCAAAAGTAAATGACTACTGTTAATGTTTTTCTAAGGAGGGGAGATTTTTTTTTACTAGCATTGATTTATAACGACATTTTTTAATTTGTTTTTCCCTCACTTTATTATATCAATAAAACCGAAAATTACTACGCCCATTTATTACGCTACATTCTGATGAAGGGCTTTGATTAAGCAAACTAAATCAATAGTACACGCTCAGTCTCTTCTTCTGTGATGTGAGGCATGCTGACCTCCTGCAAGCCACCGTGTCACACTTGCCTCCGAGCGCGTTCACACCTCGTCGTCCTACCCCTGCTGCTGCTGCTTCATCATTTTTTTTCTTCTTCTGCTGCTCCCAGATGAGAGGCCGGGGAACCTCAATCGCGTTTTTTTCAGTTGCTTTGCTACATTTCTATCTGACATCGTCAAACGCACTTGTTCAATCCTCACATCCTAGTGTCAGTTGTGCACATCGAAAATGCGTTTTTCTCATTTATTTGGACAAACTGCAAATGTTTTGCTACATTCACGCTAAACAGCGGCGTAGCCAGTGATTTTTCATTGGGTTGGCCAGGCAGAATCAGTGACTCAAATGGCGTTAATTATAACGTTGCCAAATATTATAAAATGGATCTTTAATCGCATTAATGTGCCGGATGGCCCGTTTGGAAAATCACGGTCACTGACTGACGGACGGACGGACGGACACACGTAAATGAGTAAATTCACCAGAGAGAGAGAGAGAGAGAGAGACTACCGGATGTCGGTGTCTGAAACGCTTCAAATTTAGGTCAAACACAACAAATCAACCGACCAAGTCAACGTAATCATGCAAAACATACCAGACGTTGCAAGCTCCCACTAAAAGCCCAGAAAGCTCTGCTGCGCTGCCCGGGCTCTTGCCGCGGTAAGTTGTATTCGTCCGTCGATGAAATAGGTCCGGAAGGAAACGGACGTTATTTAGGCGGAAAAAATCTTCTGCAACACGCAACATCGAGCCGCGTTTGTAAATTCCAATCACCAAGGAGCTCCAATGCAAATAATTACGTACAATCCTCTGCTGCTTCCTTCGTGATCAATTTCTTACTACATGCTGATCAAAATGCGTTACAATGGCTTTCTGTTGAATTGTCTCGCACCCCACATTTTGCCATCAGTTCACCATTTGAGTCTTTGAATGCAAAATGGTTGGACACGTCATAAGTCCAGCATGGTTTGGTACACTTCCATTCGACTTTCTTTCCCAGAAACTTGACATACTCTAACGAAAAGAAATGTGCTCGTCGCATTACTGCACTGCATGTATAGTTTTCCCTAAGGAGAACGTTCTTTGTTCGCATTTCTAGTTGTGTTTTTTTATGTGCTATGTTGTGCTGTTTTTTTTTTCCCTTTCTATCTCGCAATGAGGTAGTTCATCAGCAAATGACAGTGCAAACATCCTTCCATCCTTCCGTATTCAACACCGCTTTTCCTGAACACTCAACAGCAATGTTGATCACAAGAGTCAATGTAATTTCTGTTTAATATTCCTCTTTAAGTTGCTCTGTCTTCCATCCAGCCATCCATTTTCTGATCCACTTATCCTAACAAGGGTCACAGGGAGTGCTGCAGCCGATCCCAGCTGTCTTTGGGCAGTAGGCAGGGTACACTCTGAACTGGTTGCCAGCCAGGGCACACATAGACGAACAATCATCCGCGCTCACACTCACACTCACACCTAGGGACAATTTAGACTAATGTCCCCTTAACCATTAACCTCGCATGTTTTTGGAACGTGGGAGGAAACCGCGGAGTAGCCGGAGAAAACCCACACAGGCACGGGGAGAACATGCAAAATCCATACAGGAAGGCCGGCGCCGGAATCGAACCCTTGCAAAATCCACAGAGGAAGGCCGGCGCCGGAATCGAACCCTGCACCTCTGCACTGTGTGCCCAACACGCTAACCAGTCGCCCACCGTGCTGTGCTGCCCTCTCTTCTATCAAAAAGTTCCCCTCACAAGGAAAGTGTAAATCGGGAGAGCATGAATGGTTGTATGTCTGTATGCCATTGTTTTTGTCATCGTTTTAAGTTCAGGTAAGTTCCTATTTGTTTACAAACATGAAATGATTTATTATACTAGCTTGACAGATAAGAATGTTTCCTGTGGGAATTTATTTTCTCACTTAATCTGAACAAATGGGAGGTCAAACAGTAAACGGAACAAAAACAAGTCGTGATGGATTCATGAAGCAGACGCATGCAAAAGTTGGAGCGAGATGTACCAAAATGAAAGAGGTGTCACGTCCACCTTGGAGGAACACACACACACACACACACACACACCGCACAATTTATAGCCATCTCACGCCCCCTGATTCATTTGTTTTGTGGTGCTGCCAGCTGGCTACACACATTCAGACGCACGTGACTGCAGGCATGCAGAGGCCTCAGGCTACCTCGCATCACGCTAATTACATAATGACTTGTTTCCTTTGGAGAGGAAAAAAAAGTGCATCAAATGTGAAAATATTCAATCCATAAGGAAAAAAAAATCTTTATTGAATCCTGCAGAGGTGGAGCCTTAATGACATATGCGAATGAATGACATGACTTGCCAGTGTCACCTTGTCCTTTATTACGTTATGTTGAAGGGCAAATAAGAATTGGATACTAGATTAAAAAAATTCCCACATGTGAATACAATGTGTATGGAGGTCACATTTAATTACATTTTCTATGATGTGCTTTCGTATGGATCGTAACTCTGACAAGATACTTACCATAAGGACCTGTATGTCTCAGTAAATGGACACAAACATAAAATATGTATTTTCATAGGATTCGAGGTTTCTTTTTTGGACATCAGAATGAATTGTCGAAAAAAAAGAAAATTGAACAGGAAATAATTTTTTAGTTTTAACTGCTTGCATTAAATCATATTTTTTTGCTCCAGTTTTTCTGTGGAAAAAGATATTACGCTCAACTGATTATATTTGGACTTTTTCTCATAAATATGTGTTATGTTACGATACAATATTATTTTTTCACCAAATTACAACTTTTTTCCAAATTTTTATGTCCTGAAAAAAGTATAATTTTATAACCTTTTTTTCCAGGCTAAAAACACTTTTGAGAAATAGTTTAATTATAACATCAAAACCTTTCCCTCAAACTTTTTCTTATAAATTGCAACAACAAAAATTCCTTCAGACTGTATCTTTTTGAATGCTGTTTAAAATGCTTTCTCCTTGAGAAAAATACTACTTTTGCTATTTAAGATTACAACTTTGTCTAATGTTATCATAGAAAACTGGGATTGGGGGGATTATTTTCTTATTTTGTCAAAGAAAATCTGACTTTTTCCCCCAAAATTATTTAAAGCAAATAATATTACAGATTGATTAATATTCCAACATAAAATATATGAAATATAAAGGTTTAATTTTTTTTTTTTTTTTACATTTTTTTCCCACCAGGTGGACCTATAGAATAGGCTTCATAGTGTAAATGTTATTAACAGCTGACATTTGAGATGCAAATTTCAGGAGAAGACAACTGCGTTGACATTTCTTTTGCCATATTTATTATCTGGAAAAAAAAAAGGCACTGGATACAATTGACGTGAAATCTTCATTCAACGTTCACAACAAATATAGAATCATCGCAGATCATGGTCATGAAGAGGGCATAACCATTAAGACCGTTTGTTTGTAAAATTGCGCTTCACAATGGCAATAATCAAGGATACAGTAGAATACATTTAGATGTGTTCTGTAGTATCAACAGTACCATTTTGTACCGTGTAATTTCTTGACATTTTCAAATATTACATTTCACACGGTCCAGTATTGGGATGGGCTTGTAAACTGTATTCTTATGATCCAATTAATCACTGAATTTTACATTAACTTTAGGTAGAAAGTACCAAAAGGAGCGTACGAGTGACGACAATAATTTAGTGTTCAGTTCTTGATAATGACGCCCATCCCAGATCCGCTATTACACGTATCGGTGAGATAAACTATGAACAACAACAACGCATGTGTTCCACTGATGTCGAAAAAAAATGATTCCAGTGATGCAAAAACATGCTTGGTGAGTACAAAAATGTGGTGTTACAAAAAGCAAGTGCCTATCAATCGGGATTTCTTCGCCCTCTCAAGTCACGAGAGAGGAGCGTTGCATTTGAAAAACACACGGCTCCCCACGCACAATCAATAAGGCTGATTAGCATGATGTGGTTGACAGTCACTTAGTGTGTGTTCATTGATCCGAGGCCTCTCCCACCTTTCACCAGGTCTTCCGCAGCGGTCCATAAATAGACGAGGCTTTACATGACGACAAAGCGGCAATCGATGACGCAGAGCGAAGATGGACGATGATGTGGATTTACACGTCCAAGTTTGTTTTCGGAGCATCTGATAGGAGCAAGCTAGCTAGCCAGCTAACACCGCGATGAAAACCAAAGGAAAAAAAAATCTGCGATTTTGCTTTGTTTTATTTGGGTTTTTTTTTTTGGGCAACGGGTTTTGCTTCCCCGTGATTTGATGGCACAGTGACACAAATTCCCAGGAGCGGCTCCAAGCTAACTGAGGGAACGGAAAAGGCACATTTCTTTCACGTATGCCCGTGGACTCCTGCAAAAAATGTCGGCGTTACAAAGGCCTGCCAGTGGGATGAACGCTCAATGCACCGATGACTTTTACCAGACTTTGAGCTCTCCTTGGAGTATAGAAAGGATCACTGTGAGGTACGATTCTTTTCGATGGTACCTTGAGGGTAGCGCGCGGACTCCTTCTGCAAGTCTATAATCCCTCCGTCTGATAAGATTCTCCGGTGAACAGGTCATCAGTCTGGTTTTGGACAGTTGGACTTGTTGAAAGGCTCCTTGAGAAATCCAGAAATTATTTTCATTTCTTCTCCATTTCTATTATTCTCGTAGCCCGATAGGGTACAATTCTTTTCAAGGTTGTACTTTGAGGGGCACGCGGGGACGCTTTCTGACAGTCTGTCTCACTTTGTCAGACGCTTTCCTCGAACAAGCAGCTAAGTGGTCTTTTTTTTTTTTTTTTTCACAGTTCTGGCAGGCAAACGTTCACCGTGGACATCGCTCCTTGGAGTTCAGAAATGATCCCATTGAGGGAGCGGGAAGCGGCTCCTTCAGCCGGTCTATGTCCCTCGGTCTGATGATTTTCTTGACAGGACAAGCTGATCATTCTGGTTTTGGACAGTTCCCGTCCAGAAATTTCGGGGTAGTATAATTTGGACTGAAATGACAGTCTATACTCCTTTGTCTGATTAAATTCTCTGGAAAAGCGCGAATCACTCTGGCTTTGGAGAGTTCTTGAATGCACCGATTCAGGTACAAATGCTACTTGGAGTCCAGGAAATTCTTTTAGAGCGTACCTCAAAGGGGCACGAGTAGACTTCTAACTGAGAGTCTCTATCCCTCCATCAGATGAGTTTCTCCAGAGAGCACCTAGTCATCCTGGTGTTTCGGCAGTTCCGGTATGCACCCGTTCAACTTGGAGCGATCCATGGAATACTGTGACAGGTTTGTTAAGCTGGTGTTCCTCTCTTTCCTCTCCTGGCTTTCCTCATCGAGCTCACAATCTTCTTCCCCGCCCTCGCCCCGCTCTTCGTCAAACATGGCGTTCCCATTGCCAATGCCGACACTGGCCCGTCGAGCGTCGCCGGGTATGTTCCTCCGGATCTCGCGGTTCTTGCTGCGCCTGGCCAGCTTGGTGAGCGTGCCGAAGCGCAGGTTGAAGAGATTCTCCTCCGACGAGGACGCCGTCTGTGGCATCTGCTCAACGCTGCGGCGCTCGTAGGGCTCGCAGGCGCCTTTCAGCCGCAGGTTGTTTAGCTTGGTGTCGATGCTCTCCTGGGATGAGGTCTTATAGCGGCCGGTGTCCAGACTGGCAAAAACAGCCCTCTTCTCAGGAGACAGCATGTCCAAAGAGTGGGCCCGCTGTTCCAGACCCAGCTGGCGGCGCTCCATGCTGCGGATGGTCGCCGCCCGTTGGAGCTTGTCGTGGATCTCGACGCTCAGGCGCCGCCGCGTCTCCCGGAACTCGGCTCGTACGTTCGCCTTCCATTCGGCTGCATGAGCGGCAACCTGGGAACGATTTGAAAGCACTCTGTGAAGACAGTTGCTCTGTAGTGAATTACAGAGAAAAATCAAACCGGTGAGAGCCGTCTATGCGAGGAGATCTGTCCAGTCAGGGTCACAGAGTCTATTGCTAGCTGACGTTAACGAAAACGAAAACTTTCAAAGTAACTAAAACGAAAATTGAAAAAAACAATTCAATTCACTACATAAAAACGTAAGCCCGTACACTGTTGAGCATGTCATCGAAAAGAAACCCTACCTCATCTTTGGTCTTCTTGGATAGCACTCGAAGCCAGTCTCCGATCATACTGAGGACGGCCGCGAAGTAGGCCAAACCCACCAGGATCCAGAACCACACCAGAGGCTTGTACCACTTCATGTAGTCAATCCTGCGGTTTCCGCCTGGAAGAAAAAAAACAAAAACAAATCAGCTCAAGCTGAACTTGATGAACGCGAGCACACGTCAAGTTGAACACAAACCCGCCACGTAGTCGCCGATCCCCACTGTGGTGAGAGTGATGACGACAAAGTAGATGGCCTCCAGCGTGGTCCAGCCCTCGATGTGTTTGAAGATGACAGCGGGAACGGTGACGAAGACGATGCAACCGGCGAAGATAAAAAGGATGGTGGACGTCACCCGGATCTTCGTCTGGCTGATCTGTTTGTGTTTTTGCTGTGGAGGTGAGCAAAGGGAAAGAACGTCGTCAGACTAACGGCGGCATCACTCAGGCAACGATTTGTCAATACTTGCAACTCACCCTGAAGATCTTCTCCACTCTCAAAATACTTTTGACAAAGATAGTGCCCAGCTGATCGCCGATCCCGGCCAACAGGAAGCCGAAAAGAGGGATGCCAAATATGGCATAAAGGATGCAGAAGATTTTCCCGCCCTCCGTGCTGGGAGCGATATTTCCATAACCTATCGACACATCAGAAATGACAGACTACCATTTTGATACGTTCAAAGAAAGGAAAACATGATTCTACCTTGGCATCATTGAACTTGGCCTGGCTGACAAGCTAATAAAACCCTATTAAGGACATCTCAAGGTGCTCCAAAGGAAGGAAATGAGGAGGTGGGTGGGGTGTGGGGGGGGGGGGACATTAAGATGAAGATGACGCACTTATGCAACATCATCAATAGAAGCCCTTCTGTTACGTTCCTGGAGGAAATTGGAAGAGCTAAGTAAGACCGCAGAAAGGCGCTAATTCAGTTGCCCTCAAGGGAAAAGACATTTGTCATTGTCAAAGGGCCAGCGACGATCTCACGATGTTCGATAACAATGACTTCAGTCATATCAATAATCGGAAGAGCCACAAAAACCTGAGCCACTTCATCATCGAAGCGTGCGGTGACCTTACAACTGGACCACATGGAATTGATCTGAGCTGTACTGCTTTGTCGTTCAAGAAATGATAATCTTGTTACATTAACACACACACACACACACACACACACACACACACACACACACACACACACACATTATTCTGTTTTTGGAGAGAAAAGTTTTTCAATCACACTTTTACTTCGAGAAATGATTTTTATTTTGGTATGTCATATAAATGTGTGTGCCAACAAATTTCTTTTTTGGTGCCAAAATAATTTTTTTGTATGTCGAAATGGAGCACTTTTGATTTTTGAGTTGTGGACCACAAAATAGGCCAGTTTCCAGGGTTGGGGAGAGGGGGTTGCTGTTAATGTACCGATGGTGGTGATGACAGTTCCGGCGAAGAAGAAAGCGCTGCCCAGGTCCCAGTAACTGGAGTTGTACGAGGTGTCGCCTATGGGACTCACTCCGGCACTCACAGCGTCGATGGAATGCTGAAAAACACACGCAAAAAAAAAAACACTTTTATTTGTATTTATTGTGTATGTCATCTCATGCGCATGCTAACGACTAGCAACTTCCTTCTGCATCGCTATCATTGCTCTGAATGGCGCATCGAAAAAAAACCAAACACATTGCAGCTTTACATTCACTGGGACATTATTCACGCTTGTGCTTCATTGCGGTGCCATAAAATCTCCATCTGCTCTCTTTCTCGCTCACTAATGTTTTATGCAAATTCTTTGTATTCTTGTCTCCATGGCGACGTGGACTTTTGCTCTGGCCTCGGATGTGGAAAAAAAAAAACAAGACAACGCTGTCCATGAGAAAACGCTCCCGGTGGCATGATAATAATGCAGATTTCATTCAAAAAGTGGTGTTCGTATCATACTTTTTTTGGGGGGGGGAACAAGCGAAATGGTGGTTAGCGCTGTTCTAAACTATTGTGGTTTTCCCGCAAAACATTGTATTTTTGTGGCAAAATACGATGTTTATATTGCAATGGAAAACCTTGAATTTTTGCAGCCAAGCTAAATTTTGAGGCAAAATACTGTGTGATGAACCCCAAAAACATTACATCAGGCGTGTATTGACATTTAAAGAGCAACCCAATGCAGTGAATGCTTTACTTTTTTTTTTTTTTTTTTTTTTATGAAAGGACACCGCGTTTTTGTGCTGGTAAATTGTTGTGATCACTCGCTTGAATGTACTTGCGCCGTCATTCAGGGCCGCCCCCACACATTATGTGCAAGCTTTTTGAGAGCAACCGCTTTATGAAATATGCATCTACTCTCGTGACATACATTTCAAAGCAAGCTACGGACCACTTCAGGCGCACAGACGACTATTCATGGTCTTGCACGTTTTCACTTCCCGTCAAATTCACCCAACCATTTTTAAAAATGAATTTAATAAGCCGTAACAAATATCAAATTACATTCAGAACAATCTATTTCTAGAGTGGTGGGACGGCTATAAATAGCCGAGCAATGTCTGAATATTTTATGAGCTGTTCTATTTATAGCCCTCTTCTGTTTGCCAGCCAAAGTGGTGCTGCATTGAAGATGTGGAAAATCCTCCATAGTGCACGTGCGCTTTGCAGGCATGAGGACTCCTGAAGGACTCCTTTGTTTTTGTTTACTTTTTTTTTTTTTTGCATTACAGCAGAACAAAGTGCTATCCGGCAAGACATTTAACTTGGCTGGAGTACATTGCCTACTGCGGGACTTTCATGGCAAAATTGAGCATTTGTGTGTCAAAACGTTGACCTTGTGAGAAAAGTATTACATTTTGTACCAAACATATTTTTGCGGCAACATACAATGTTGACAAACGATAAAATATTTTTTAGTGAGACCACTGCTTTTTGGTAGCCAAACATTGCGTTCCCGGGGTTACAGGAGGGATAAAATGTCTTTCTGTCACACACCAGCAAGAGACGTCGGCGCCTTACCCTTCAACGATTGCCCCCCCCCAAAAAAAGCATGACACGGCGCCAAACACTGCAGCACTTTCAATAACGTCTTTATCGTAATGCTGGCCAGCTTGAGCTGCCAAACAAAATTGTCTCCTCCACTAGGAAGGATGCTGTGAGATTCTTAGAAACAAAAGGAAGCTTATACAATATGATGGGGGGAAGGGGGGGGGGGACAAGTGGGGTGGCTTAAAAAACACTACCAAGATTGAACTGAAAGTAATTCAAAAAAATATTTGTTTAACTATACCTTTGTCAAATGGCTGGTTTCTGCCATTTATAGAGTGTGCGCTGAGAAAAATGAGGCACTTGGCGTTTACGGTGAGGTCACACGCAAAAGACACCAGCTCTCCTGCTTCCCGTCTGTTAGCGCTATTTTGGTGTTTTTGTTTGCAAATACTCCCTTAAAAAAAAAAAAAAAATCCTGAAAAATGTTTGTGTGTATATCTATCTATCTATCTATCTATCTATCTATCTATCTATCTATCTATCTATCTATCTATCTATATATATATATATATATATATATATATATATATACATAAAAACAAACCTAAATGTGTGTCTTGTGTCATGGAATGTATGCATTACAACATCCAGAAAAAGATCATTTGCGTGTGGTGACGTAACGCGGCTGCAGGTGTGCTGAATCGTGACTCATCACTAAATGTGCCCTGTAAATAACAGCGCGGCATCACATTGTGCCACAGCATGCATCAGCCCAGAGGCTTTGGCCGAGGTAATTATAAGGATGGGCAATGTGGGGGACGCTCACAGTGGGTAGGAGGACGCTGAAAGAGCAAACATGGCCGCACGGGCATTGAGTGTCTGTCAGTGATTATTTGTTTTTTCCCAGCCATTCTTCTTCCTGAGGATTCTGCCTTCCAAACTTCCTCCACAAAAAAGACTGACATGAATGACTCGCCCCCGCACTACACTGCTGAAAGAACACAAAAACACATTGAGAATGTAACCCTCAATAGAGCAGCAGAACGGCCTTGTATTCGTATTCAGATTTACCTTTATGGGAGAGGCGTATGGCACAGAGGCGTACTGAGGCATAGCAGACTAAAAAAAAAAAAAAAAAAAAAAAAAATGCAAGTTTACTGTAAAACTAAACATCGAATAAAGAGGAATAGGCATGACGTATTTAACCAACCCACTAACTTTTCTTACAAAATTCCACACTCTTAATGGGAACACATATTGCGAAACGCTTTCGACAGCCGAAAAAAATAGTGTCGCTTTTGCAGTAATTATGAACCATGACACATTTTTGGGGGATTTTAATAGTATATGTTTTTAGGCGCTACTTGGTGGAAAATTTTTGACAGCACTGGCTTCTCGCGTCTCATGTGGGCGGAGCATCGCATCAGTTTGAGGATCATTTGGAGGGTCCGCCAAGAAAAAAAAAAAAATGAATGCCAAGGTCTGTTCATCGCCGGTTGCGGCTTTGATTATAGTCATCGCCAAAATGTAATCATTCCTTCAGCACTTGAAAGCCGTTAGTTAGCAAATAGCCTGTTAGCTTTCACTTCCAGCTGGTGTTTAGCCTGTTAGCTTTCACTTCTTACTGATGATCTATGCCCTCGCGCGTATACCGAATGGGCTCATTTTGCCCAGCCGCTGCTTCTGGCACCGCAGGAGGTCTCCCACTCCTGCCTCGCCCGATGAATAATTGACTCCCTCCGGACTCCCCCTTTGCCGAACGCAACACGCTAAAGGTTTTCCATTTCCGTCCCCAGCTTACACAAGATGCCGTCATTGATTTCTGCCACAAACTACAGCTAGTATCTCTTTGTGAGACCATGATGTGAGTAAGGAATGGATCCTTGTGTGGGTGGGTGGGCATGGAGTGTAAAAATAAATATCTGGAAATACAGACCAAAATTCACCAGTGGTGAAGATGTTCACATCAAACAGGATTGTTCCAGCGAAAAGTAGGCCACTCCAAATTGTATGTGCTTGGTTCCCTCGTTGTCGGGGTTATTCTAAGTTTAAGAGAATGTCATGGGGGCGTAATAATTTTATTAATAGTCTCACAAGTGAGAGCATATTGCAGTCGAAGGCAGCCAGAAATTTCTGGAAGAATATGGTTCAAAGGCACATGGTGGATTCGTGATGAGCACGTCTGCCGCACAGTTTTGAGGTTTTCACTCTCCTGTTCATATATTCTTCAGGCATTCTGGTTCACTGAAGATTCCAAGTTGTCCACTGATACGAATGGGAGTGGGAGTGGGTGATTGTCAATACTGTATATGCCCTGCAGTTGACCACTGTCAAATCAAAGGTGCACACGCTAACTCTTGCCCAGTTCGCACAACAAAAAATATTTTGTAAAAATAAATAAATAAATAAAAATCATAAATAAAATGTAAAATGTGTGTTTATATATATGTAACTGAAATATGAATAAAACTAACTAAAATTTCTCTCTTCATGTTCATATTCGTCAATGAATTTAATAAATGACATTTTGGGGTTTAAAAGTGTTACACATCCAGAAAAAATTGTACTTGAATTTATTGCACCATAGCGTCCTTTTTTTTTTTTTTTTTTAAATCTTGCACTCCACAAATAGGCCATAAAAGAAGTAAACTAAAGCTAATAATGAAACTGATAATTGAATATCAAATAAATGACTTTTATCAGACAACTGCTAAGTAGCACGGAGCTAAATGACTGGCATTAAACTCACCGGTGATGTGTGTATTTTCTTTCGCATACTAACCACATCAAACTGTCCGTCAAACCATGAGGAGTTTCAGTTTTTTTTTTTTGTTTTTTTTTTTGGCTTTCATTTTTATACTTACTCTTCACAGTGTGTGACAGTTTAAAATGTGAGAATCTGACATAAAACAATTGAATGCTCGTTTTCCACTCCAGCCAACCTCTCTCTATTAACCTTGCTTTTGTTCCTTAATTAGCATAATAACATGGTGGGGAGAAGGCAAACAATCGCATTGAGATTTGAGATGCGGAAAATTTGGCTTTTCTCCCTAATCAGCACAAATATGAGAGAGAGAGAGAGTAGAGAGAGAGAGAGAGAGAGAGAGAGAGAGAGAGAGAGAGAGAGAGAGAGAGAGAAACAAAGCATAAGGCACACAAGAGACCGCACGCTTGTCTGAATTTCCCTGTCATGTTTTTTTTTTTTATATCTATCTCTTCCGCCTTTCAGGTGTTTTCATGAGATATACGGAATTATTATGATGTCTTTTCCTGAACTACTACTTACTTTTTCCATGTTGGCTCAATCATGTCTGAATTAATCTACGTCAATGACCACAAGCGCCTGCTTTGGGTCGTGCCCCTTTCCGTTCCGTGGATATACGGATGGTCTATCCTCAAACTAAACATCTCAATTCTAATAAACACCAGCTCACATTTCTGTGGCCGAATGAATACGTCAATATGGCATTTCATAAATTGGGGCACTGAGCGGAGAGCTTTAAATGCCAGTTGCTCACATCAAGCGATACTTCATTAAGGATAGACAGTTATCTAACCTATTCTCCCCACAGACAACTTTTATGTTGGATTATGTAACAATGTTTACCATGAATTGTCAGCACATGTGAGGTGTCACTGAGCATTATGAGATGTGTCGCATTGCCAAAGGTAGCAAGTGAGCCTCCTGCTGCCTTGCTTCTTAAGATTACCCGTTGAGCAGCACGGGATACTGGATTTAAGTTTAAGTTTTCATATCTAAAAATCGCTGTCACCAACTCACCTTTATGAGAGCCTCCAGCTCGTCGGGTGTGACACATGAGTGTCTTGCCAGAAAGGAAGCCTTCTCCAGAGTGATGCTGGTCTTCTGGTCGCTCTCAAACGGCTGCTCCAGCGCCCTAAATGCCAGACCCCCGCACACGAGGTACAGGACCACCACGATGAACACGGCCAATACGGTCTTCCACTTCATGACCGAGTGCAGAGCTGCCAGCGAGCCGTCGCAGCTGGTGTCCATGCTGGCCACGACACTGGCCGAGCGCGACGAGATGGACAGGCGAGGCAGCGTGCAGTGGCCGTTGGCTTTGGGCTCACAGCCTGTTGGGTTCTGCATGGTGGCTACACTAGCCTGGACCAGGCTTGACTTCACCATGCCGGGCTGGGCCTTCTTGGGAGGGACCAAGTTGGTCTGGACCGCCACTGGAAAACATTGTAGGAAAAGATCAAGTTGGGTCGTGATTCAGCTTGCGAACGTTTCGTACCTAACAACTGGACTGAGACCCTTTAAGCGTTCTCGTGTGAATGCGCCACCAAAACCATGGACGAGTGCTAATTATGCCAAAAAGCATTGGAAACTCATAAATATGAACTCACAGTTTGGTTTGGTTACAATGAAGTTTTCAAGTGAATTATGTTGTGGTTAGGTTCACTTCCGCTCAATTTTGAACAGTGTATTAACCCAGCAACCGAGATGGGCATTCCGTCAGTACTGACGGAAAGTCCGTCAGTCCGTCACTGCCCGACGTCCATTTTGCTGGCAATTGACGACTGGCACATCCTGTGCAGTAGGTGGCGGTATGCACCAAAGAGCTGTAATCAACCAATGAACGGAGATGATAAAGAAGAAGAAGGAGGCACCAATGAGGAGCATTTATAGACAGGAGTACGAGTGCAAGGAACTTGGATTTGATTTTACCCTTGGTCACAGTGCGGAGCGAGATTCAGGTGACGTTAAGCCATTTTAAACTTTTTGGCGTTTTATGTGTTAAAACAGCTGCAGGCAACCACCAGCATACTCCCGCTGTGCTCTTACTGTTCAAAAGAATGTCAAATAAGTGTATGTGGAATGTTTGTGAGTGTATGTGTGTGTGTGGAAAGTTCTTCGGGCAGGCAAGTGAAGTCAGGTCCAGTTCGGTTCATTTCAGGTCAAGTATGACCACGCTTGTTTTGAATCAAATTTTTGATTCAGTCAGAACAATCTTTTTTACTGCTCTGTTACTTCGGTTTATATATAAATGCAAATGTGACCATTCAAACCCTGGTGCGCACAAGCAAGGGTTCTCATCAATCCACTTTCAAGTGACTTTGGGTGCGGTGCTGTTTGGTTCAATTCCACTTTAGTTTGAACAGCGCACAGAACAAAGACACAACAAAATAGGACATTTATCTTGAAAGGAACTTTTATGTCATCATCATAATTTTATTACTTTGGTTGGAGCTTACTTAATTTCCTTAGACTTTCAAAACTCTGACAAGAGGATAGTTGACGGTTTGTGTGTTTAGATGACACCGATTTCTCAATTGTAATCTGACCTGGAACCACCGATACCGAAGGCAACCTTTAAATCGTCTTGCCATCTGAGGAATGAGTTTTAGACGCTTCACATTAAAGCCATTAGTCACGCGGAAGGCAGCCTCGGAAGCCTGCCGGGCATTGCCTATATCGCTAATGCAGAAGAAAACTGCGTCACCATTTATAGGATTCCATTAGATGAAGAAAACATCCTGATTTTCAATACATTATGCGAATGATTATGGACATTAATATTACATTAATCTATATGCATATAGCATAACTACAAAGGCTTTGAGGAAATGTAAGGCATGGATAGTCCAACAACTAACTGAGTGCTGCGAATATACTTTATGATAGTTTCCTTATACTTAGAAGGGGGCCGGTGAGGTAAGTACTTTTAATTTAGTTTGATGAGGTTTGACCTTGCTGTGGTTAATTTCTTTTTACACTTGTATGATGGATAAGAATGCTAAACAGCCCCCTTTGTTGTTCCTAATGTGCTATGAAAGGGATGAAGTATATACTGTAGCTGCGGTGGAGAGATGGGGGGGCATGAAATTTTTTCTCCCTTTGAGGAGGGGGCATAACAGAATAGCATTGAGAAGCACTGCTCTAATAAAACAAATATGACAAAGGTGCCTCAGAGCAGTGGACAGAACCAGGCATCCACAATGATGCGGGATGAGTCAAGGACATCCAGGAAGCATCCCGCACACTCCCACAGCATTTATGAATCTTGTTAGTTCTTCCTTGTTGGATGACTGAATCAATTACGACGAAGTGATTTTTCTGTTCTCCCCTATAACACTGCGCAATGATAGCAGCAGACTATTTTTAGAAGACAAAATAAATGACAACTTTAAGAATGAAGCAGCAGAAAGACACAAAGCCTGAATCAGTATTCAGGGATGCATGCAATGATGTCATCATGATGCAAACTAATCTTACAAATGCATACATTTTATTCTATTTTACTGGAAATTAATTAACAGTGTGTTTGCTGTCCAAATTAATGCAAAGATTCTTAAATGTGTATTGATGAAAAACAATCCAATTGAAATGCACATTTGAGTAATAATAATAATGAAAGCAAAAAAAAAAAATGTTAGCACCAGCACTCGCCACAGCTATGCCACTCCAAATGCTATACGCTTGCCTGGCTAACGTGACATGAGCTGTAAGATGTAATATTTCAGCGCAACTACAAATACTAGCTTCTACCACTTCACATTTCATTAGCTTTAAGAAAATGAGTACAAGTACAAGTTGGATAGGGGTTCATGTGGCCCAAACTTGGGCACCCTTGTGCTAGCTGTTGGGACTAGCTGCACGATGACTGACTAGTGTGTCTCTAGCTCTAAACAGCAACAGAATAAGATTTCCAAAAAATAAAATTGTCTAAATGCCAAGTGTGGATGGAATGGCCAGTTCAACCTACCAGTAATTATAAAGCACCAAGATTTTTTTTAATTTGGATGATGGGTCACGGAGAAATTGAGTTTTGAGGACTGTTTTTGTGCAATATCGGCAAGAGAAAATTTGGTCAGTAACAGCTACAAATTATTGTAAAACATTTTTCAATGTATGAGCCCTTTTATTTAGTCAATTACTCGGGGAAAACCTTCTCCGATTGTCTGACAAGTTTCAATTTCTTATACACCACTAAGCTCAAATGGCCTGAAATTTACACACATAAAACTGCCTGTACTATTTAGAAAGGTGTTAAGGTGATAGTTTGACCTAGGAACCAACCAAACACCATTTTCAGATTTCCTTTGGGAAAATTTGGTTTAAAAGTCGCTCCACATTCCACAATGGATTGAGTTCACCCTTAGAGCTTCCACTCTAGTGTTTTATAATCAAAATTGCATTAACGTTGCCTGACGTACGCACCCATCTAAAATCCAAGGCACTAACTCAGCCTCCTATCGATTGTGACTAATTGAATAAGGCTTGAATGGAAAGCCATATTTTCCATCCGATACCCACTCTTCATGGGGAGCAAGCTGAGTCCCATAACAACATGAAACTGATGTGACTTAGTGAATTGACGTTTAAAGTGAAATGTAAATTTGTGACACGAATGTCGCCACATTTTATTGTACTTACATTTGAATGAATTCTCAACACTAGCAAAATTGACGTTTAAGGTGAAATGTAAATTCGTTACACGAATGTCGCCACATTTCTTGTACTTACATTTGAATGAATTCTCAACACTAGCAGTGATTCAGCAGCACTAACTAACCAAATAAAGTGAGTAGGATAAAACAAGAGGTCCCATTTTTATTTTGCTCGAGTTTTTTTCACGTCATTCCCGAAGAAACGAGACAGGTTGGGGGACACACACACCATCTGAGCCTCACTGTACAAAGGGTGTCAAACTCGGACAATAATAGCTTAAACTTCCGGTAACAAAATAAAGACAATATTCCATCTAATCGATTTAACGTCACGTTTAATGTCCAAAAGAGCATTTTACATGTCAATTGAATGCAAGTGTACCCTTTTTCCTTGTCTAAATGCTTTTGAGACTTTCGGTTGTTTGTGCTAACTTGCTTTGTCACTAACCTCCCGCAGCTCGTTTTTAAATGCAAAATTAGAAACAAAGTACATACACCGAGTTTATAGGGCTATATATAGTACTTATTAAGTGTATTTAATAACATGTATTTGTCAAATAAATGACAGAATAACAAAAAAAAATAATTTAAAAACAAAAAATCCGAAGCGCATTACATATATCTCCTCAAGCCTGTTATTATAACATTATTTTTAAAAGGTACTGACCTTGTTCGGGGTCCCAGTTAACTTGTTTCCTCGGGTTTTCTATTGGGAATTTCATCTTTTCAAAAATGATTATAATAAATAAATTAATTAAAACCGTGGCTAAAATAAAAGACGTAACCGGCTCACAAAATCAAAATAAACGGATATACATGATTACAAGTAAGTACTATATCTCCCCATCTTCAGACATGTCTTCTTTTAAGGACGTGTCTGCTAATGACAAGGCGAGCAAATAACCGCATTGTCTGCTGTTCGAGAGTCCCCTCCTTTTTTTCTGAATCTCGTCTGGACCAAGTGAGATGCAGTACATCTGTTTTCGAGCGAGGGGCAAACCACAAGTCACCCCATACAAACATAAATACACGCACACTAGGGACTGGCAAGCCCAGTGGGTGCCCACCCAACTTTACGCACTTGCCTCTCGTAGAACAACGAGGGCGTTAAAAAAAACCGATGCTCTGCTTCCTTTAGCTTGCTCCCATGGTCTTTTTAGTATCAAATCAAGCACACACAAAAATCTCCTCCTGAAATGTACACCAACGTCAAATATATATTTCCAATACTCACTCTTGTGCTTTTTTTCCCCGGCAGGCAAAATGTGGATTTTTATTTATTATTATTCCATCATCGTTGCAGGCAGCCCGTGAGTGTGTGTGAGCACATGGTGCAAAGCGGTGGGTCACGCCCAACGATTGGTGGACCTCCACGGTGACATCATTCATATGTATGAGCACCATATGCATTATTGATGAGCTTCAGACACTGGGATGGGGGACCTTTAAGAAAAAAAAATCTGATGCAATGGTTCATTACTAGAATCATTTGAGGGCGAAATGTTAATTTCAAGTTTTATTTGATTATGTGTATGGGAGATATGTTACCATACAATATCCATATTATATTGTTACAATTATATTGGCACGGTGTGTATGTGATTATTAATTATTATTAATGAATGAAAGATGCACCTGAGAGGGATTTGGATTTCATGTTTGTTGTAGGCCAACATATAATATACGATGTTGTGTCACTGTGTGTAAGACTGCAGCAATATTTCGCCTCATAAAAAGGTAAAATCGGGAAAGATGATCGTTCCAATGTAAATTTCTCAGGCGTTAGGTAAAAGACAACAAGGAAGATGTTATTTTTTTGTACCCATATTTGTGTGAAGGATATTTGATAAGGTGTTTCGCAAAAAAAAAATAAAAATAATAAATAATAATAATAATTAAAAGACAGTTTTGCAATCATATAGCCAAGTAGATTTGCACTATTAGCTTTCTCATCTAGCTTTCTCATTTGGCCAGTAGGCTCAAGGGATGTGGGAACTGCTGTAAAGGCTCTTATTATTATTGAATAATTAGTATTTTTTTTATAAGTATATATGTTCAGCTCAGTATATGACCCTACGTCTGTTGTCGACGCAATCCAATTTCGCTTTAAAACAAACGTGTTTCAAATCATGGAAACGTTCCAGAATTTGCGTCAGCCGTCACCCGTGTTGAACTTCCGGCTTCTCTGTTATTCGTATACGCATGCGCGAGTCACGAAGTGACGTAGTCATTCTTAGCAACCGACATGGCGACGGTGAAGCTTTGCAATCCTCCGCCAACTGCCTTAAGAAGCTAGCTTCACATTGTCATTATTCATTTGCTCACCTCGATAAAATGTCAACAATAAACGGTGTTCTACTTTCTAGATGCATTGAGGCTTGGCCGTTGCGGTTTGGGAATAGTTCTGGCGAAAATGGGATACGCTGAGGATAGCATTGACATGGAGTCGAGAAGAAGTACGTAACGCTGCTTAACGTTAGCATTAGGTTTGTGTGTGGCAAATATAGTTTTTGGATAATATAGTGTAGAGATAATGTTTATAATCCATATGCTTTTTGAATAAAATAAAATGGGCATGTAAAACTAACAAAATACCCGAAATGCTAATTAATGTATGCCACGCATTCGCTGGCGACCAGTAAGACAAATAAAGGCAGACAGTGTAGAAAACAGATGCTTAGATAGTTTTAATATTGACCCCTAATCAGGATTAAAATTATTATTTTTCTATTTTAGGGAGTGTATTATGTGGTCCCGGGTCCAGCCTTAACATTAGAAGTCAGGCATTGAAAAGCAGCCGTAAGTATTGCTAATTATTAAAATTTTAAGCTATCATTTGTTGATTTTGAGAACTGTTTCTTCCTGCCGTATTTTTTTCAGCATTTAGTCCTCACTCCTCCAGCAGGTGGGCCCAAGCTCTGATTACAGATCACATGATGTCTCACTACAAAAGGATTTATTCAGCACAATGTGAGTTTTTAGAAATAGTCAAAGAACACAATGGTGAAAGAATGATTGTGTCACTCTCACTGTCTGTGAAACAAGTGACATTTTCTTGTGTTTTCTTGCAGCTCTTATTGACACCTCAGCACCCAAAAGCCTTAAGCAGAGTGTGAAGTGTAAGTAACACCATCACAGTTTACCTCAACACTCACATTCATCGTATAAAAGCATCCACTCACAGGGCACGTTTGACAATTTAAAGGAGCCATATATGTCATGCTGTGTGCGAGAATCTGCTTGCTGATGCGATATTCCGAAATGGTTCCATGTGCAAAAACAGACAGCGACCGGATGAGACAGGAGCGTCTGAAGAAAGAAGGCCGTCCCCAGTCAGCACATTCGCTCTCGCACAGGAACAGCAGAGCCTCATGTTACTCAGCACACGTAAGCCACTGGAACTTTTTCAGTAGTTACAATTATAATGGAAGACGATTCAACAGAACATCTTTAATTCAATAAAAGTAATGCTTATTTGTTTCAACATACAACCAAATTCAGCCGTGTTACCCACCAAGCCATCTAAGCCATCAGATATCATTTTAACCATGTTACAAAAACACTTGGGTCTGCTGTTTGATGCTAAACTGGGTGGGGTGATCATTTCCTGAGTGTGTCGTCGTTTGCAGCAGAGCTGAGCCCAATTACCACGTTTTTTTTTTCTTTTTCAGAGTCGATGTTCTATGCAGTCTGAATACAGGCCCTATCTGTGCTCAAGAAACTCCATGCGCTCCACCCCTGGATTTAGCAGCTCCTTTCACACAAAGGAGGTCCCCTCTCCAACTAAAGCTACCCCAAAGAATCATCATCATCATCATCATCATCATCATCGCCCTCATTCCGCCGCAGAACTCAAGTTCCGAAGCCAGGAGCCGACATCCCACGGGCGGCCAGCGGCTAGTTACCTGTACGCCTCGAGTGAACCGAACTTCCTCAAGGCATTTCGTGATCCTGTGCAGAAGACGTACAGCGGCGACTTGCTGGAGAAACATTCGCAGCGCTTCACCCAAGATAAGCCTTTCACGCCAAAGATGCTAAAGTCGGAAAAGAGCTCATACCTGTCAAGTTATCGCTACTATCGAGCACCGGGGGGCGCCCATCCGGTTCAGGATAGCGACGACTTGAAATTGGAGAAACGGTACACACCGCAATGTCTCATCTCAATTATGTCGTTAAGATTGATTTATATTGTTGTTTTACCTCCTTCATGTAGAGCCACAACTGTGCAGCACACACTGGAGTTGGATGAGCCACCTCAGGTAATTTTGCAATTGAAATGTTTGACCATTAATACATACTGTATAAACACATAATTATTGACTTACAAAGGCTACACACCCCTGCTTAAATGCCAGGTATTTATTTTTTAAAAAGTGACACCAAGTCAATAAAAAATACCTCACTATTAATGTGTCCTACAACACACGCAACGTTTTTGGAAATGTATCTATCTTTGAGACAGGAGAAGTAAAAATAAAGGATGTAATGTTGTTGCACAAGTTTGCACACCCTCTTGTAACCGTGGAGTTGTCTGTGTACCATTAATCACCTTCAAACTCATGTTAGGTGTAGGAAAAAATATATAGAAATTAGGGGAAAAAAATCCTACTAGACCATCTAGAACCTTATTTGGCGTTAATCAGAGGCACGTTAAATGTTGGCACGTGTGAGGTGATGCCCATTTAACATGAATTTCAACATGATTGGTTAATACGAAACACAGCCACATCCGCAACTATGAGAGAATGTCAACACTTGTGCAAACACATTTCAGTTTGTTTTTATTTCCTCTCTCACCCCAAAAATCCAATTGAGTTTTTACAGATTACTTCGGCGATATTAATGGGCGGAAAAAAATGTCCATTTGTCCTGGTGTCATTTTTAATATCACCCCCCCCCCCCGACATTTACACAGGGTTGTGCTGCTGTTTTATCGTCACTGTAAAATCGCAGTAAATATAACACAATCTTGAATGTCGCTCTTTGTCCCAGGAACTCAAGAAAGAGCAGCAGTTGGCTGAGGGCGACCACACCGGCACATATTCAATAATGCCTAAACAACAAACAAACAAAAACCAAGACTATGATCCCTTCGACTATTCCACCAGGTAAAATCGTGTACGAAATGACACATGACTCTATATGCTTTATGAAAGGGATACTTTCTTCTAGGTTCTCCTTCGAGGGGGGAAACATGTCTCCAAGTGCAGAGTAAGTTTGTTTCCATAACCCCTCATGCATAAAAATCAATCGTAGAATATTTTGAAAGAACAAGAATCTCTTCTTTGACAGGGATGAAGAATTAATGTATCTTGAATTTATTAACGATGTAACAGAAGACATCTTGTCCAGGGGATCAGTCTCTGACAGGTGAGGGGTGTTCTCAGTAAAATGTCAAGTCATTTCCTGTTCTACGGTCAGTGTAGTCATTGTCATATTTCAGTATCTTGTGAGATCTTAGAGTGGGCTCAAAAAGCAGAAATAGCTGGAAATCGATTCCAGATTTTAAAAAATGGTTAGCAGTACCTTCAAGGCATTTGGGAACTTATAATACAAAACATACCATGCGGACTACTTGTTCCTGTTTTGATTTCAAAAACATTTGAATTATGCTCCCAAGATGGAGGAGTCCTTTGACATGGACAAGAGTGCGAGGAACGCGACGTGACGGGGGAACCTAGGCTTTGACGTCATGTCTTTTCGGACTGGGGCACTTTTTCCATTATTGGGTTAACAATCACTTTAGGTTGGCTCGCGTACGTGATGGTATCAGGCTGCGGGGTATTATATGTCCGCGTCTCCTTCAAGGGTCCTCAACCGGGTGATACAGCGGCATATTGATATGAATCTGCAACGTCTGGATGAAGTGAGTATGCATGGGGTGCAGAATGGGGAACCTGGTTGTGATATATAGTCAGAAACATTGAGGATAGTCTTTGGGGGGGGGGGGGTAATGCCAATGAGTCATGGTCTGTGTTGTTTTAGGCTAAAATGCGCCACCTTCTGGACATCCTGCGCAACAACCTGGACGAGCCTTCCGCTCCGTCCTCTTACAACGAAGAGCTTGGGAAAAAAGACCTGCTCGAGTCCCTTCTTGTGATGCCCGAATCGGCCCTGGAGCGGGTGAAACCCGAAGTAGACAACAACTTCTTTGGTCACGTGAGCAAAGGCAACAATTCTCCTGAGCACTCCCCGGAGCCCGTGTTGAGCTCCACGCCGCTTTGGTCTCCTGAACAAAGTTCTCTTCTGACACCGAACGAAAAGACGGAAGAGGGCACAAGCGAGTATGTTAGTAGTAATGAAGAAAAGGATGAAGACTACCAAGCGGTCGTGACGGACGATGATGCCAAACAGGAGGAGCTCCTTCAGGTCCAAGCTGAGTCAGCCGCTCAAGGAAAATCCAAAGAGCTTCAAGACTTGGAAAGAAGGTTTTCGGAGTCGCTGCGTGTCGATAAAGACCCTAAAGGTGACAACTTGGACTCTTCCAGTGAGCACCAAATAAATACACTGGCTTCAGTTAGCGATGACGACTTTTGAATGTTGGACAGACTGAACTTTAAAGCCTCTTCAAGACCGAGATGCTTCAACTTTGCTGCATTAGAGCCATTTTCTTTTCACACAGAACCCAGAAAAGGGCGGGATTTTGTGGCAACTGTGATCTAACACAGCAATCCAGATATCATACAATTAGATGTTGTCTAATGGTTGCAATGAAATCCACCTGACATTTTCAACAGAGCTTATCCCGTTCACAGTCACGGGAGCTGCAGCCTATCCCAGCTGACTTTGGATGAAAGACAAACTACCCTGCAGTGGTCGCCAGTCAGTCACAGGGCACATGCAGACACAGGCGACCATTTGTACTCACATTCACATCGCCACTGAGAGGGAAATGAACCCATGCTGCTTGGGCCGAAGTCAGGCGGGTGTACCACGACAGCAATTTTTCATCAATTTTTCATCTTTGAACGTGGTAACGGAGCAGTAACAGAGACGGGACGACACCTATGTGTCAGGTAATGCCAGAAAGATGGGCCAGGCTGGTAAGTTTTAACACCCAAGACACACAAACAAAAAAAGAACCAAATACTGAATATGCCCTGTTCATTAATAATTAATATCACTGGCCAACAACTGTTTCTATTTTTTTTTTTTTAATCAGAGATGAAAGTAAACTAGATTTATCTCTAGCACCTCATGTTTTCATCATAATCATATGAAATATAGGAATATATTTGGTAACATGAATTCAGGGTTAGGTTCAGAAACAGATTTTTTTTTTTCCTGAAATGTCAAAGGTATAAATAACAACACATGGTGACATGCATAGTGTGCACGCTTTACTGTATAGATGATGCTTCAAAACAACATCAAAAGAAAATATCTAAAAAAAACCTGAGTTGCTAAGGAAAAAAAGGAAAGTTTTATTTAAGCGTCAAAAATACGTTTACTGTCGGGACACATAAAACCATCTGTGATTAAAATGTGCTGTGTATTTTTATTTTGGCATGATCTGTTCAGCTGAGGATGTAAGCTATTTTTGCAGAGGCGCCCAGAATCTCGAGGAGAGTGTTAGTTTAAGGGGAAAAAAAAGAAAGTAAAAAAAAAAAGACATATTTTGGGAAGGTAACAATATGAGAGGCCGAGTCTTGTGTAATCCGCTGATGCTGTGATTTACGCGTTATCTGTTAACGTGTGTTGTTCAAGAGATATAGTTTGCTATATTTTACACAGGCTGTTTTTTTAAGTGTTTTATGTGACGTGAAATGAGTTGTGTTGTAAGAATCTGCTGCTGAGTTTGTTTTTTCGAGAGATTCAGTGAGTCCCCACAGTGTCTTTTTCAATTTGCAATAAATATTTCGACAGTACTTAATATTTGCACGACCTATTATTGGGCGGAAAGGGAGCGTGACTGCGGTGGCTATTTTGCAAACAAACGTCGGTACTGTTGCACAATGCGATGTTTAGCGTGCGCGATAAGTGCTGTCAGCCGAGGTGGAAGGTAAACATGGAGGTCAGCGGCCAGCCGGTCCAGGCAGCTGTCCCATTTGGACAATTCTCACCACTCGGCATTCCAGCTGTCTGAGGTCACGGCTCCCCCGAAAATATCCGTGTATCCCTCCGCGACGGTGCCGCTAATACATGTTTTTCAGATCTCGTCGACGAATTTAAGCCATGGTGTCTTTTTTTTTTACAACCCAAATTGTTTTAAGTATACTGCATGTCTTTGTTGGACTTTTATCGAGTAATAAAACACAAATACAAAAGTTGTAGATCCGCGGATGAAGACACTTGTTGCGCCTCCAATCCCAGGAAGCAAAACACGCTTGGAACCTGAGTGATGCAGGACGAAGAGGGATACTTTCGCCTTCACCCAGGAACGTACACATTCGCCATTTAATGTAGTTATTTGAAATTGTTAAATAAAAATAGCAAGTGTTTAATGGTGGAACTACCGCTTGGACTCAAGCCCTCATCGGACCTTTAAACTCTCCCTGCGGCTCAACGGTAACGTCAAGGGGCTGCGGCCAAAATATTTACCGGCGACGTCAGCTACTCCCGGGTGTCGTCTATTTGCTGGGAGTATGTTAGCAAGCTCGAGCCAAACGTGATGTTTCTTCGTGTAAATACTTTGGCAGGCGAGTATCGAGACGACATTAAGTACCGGGACGGTTGTTTTGATTTTATGATCTTATGGTGCGCTTAATGCTAAATCAGCAGTAGTTGCCTTTCAGAGGGGTCGAAGCGAAGTTTGGCGTAAAGTTCATTCGAACCTCGGCTAAATTGAAGCGGGCAGGGATTTAGTGCTTGGATCCGACTAATGACTGCAGGTTGAATCACTGCTATATTCAGATCCAAATTGTCCAATGGAACCATTTTAAGTCATTTCCACTTTTTATCTAATTATTTGATTTGTAAACCAATATGTCAAACTTTTGGCTAAATTGCATGTACACCTGCGCAGTCTCCCCTTTGCTTTTAGCAATTGTTAATTACATAGGTATAACTACAAAGTCAGACCAAGTAATTACATACTGAGGGGCGTTTTTAATAATCTGACCACGTTGTGTACATAAATAAGTGAATCATATTATCGTCACCTTAAAATAATGGCAGAAGCAATACTTGGATAAAAATTGATGTATTTGCCATAAATATCTTCTCAGAATCAATATTTGGTTTCCTAGTTTTCCGAAAAAAAAAATGAAACATTCACTTGGATCTTTATTTGAGGAAGGTGATGATGTTTGAGAAAGCACTCAGGATGACACTGTGAAGTTTTGCGCCACGATAATCACCCCAAAACACAACACAATGTTTATATTTATATATGTTGCTGAGCAAAGCATTGCTCGCATCGTTATCCATTAATGGTATATCTTTTGTCACCTTTTCAGGTTTGCTTGACAATGAGCCCCGTGACTTCTACCATTCATGAGGTTTTATTAGAACTGACAACGAGGCCAGTCATTTGCAAGGACTAGTCACGAAGGATCTGCACCGGCGTGAATCATGCCCTTGCCTTTCGGCTTGAAGCTCAAGCGCACGAGAAGGTACACCGTTTCCAGCAAGAGCTGCCTGGTCACTCGCATCCAGCAACTCAATGGCGAGTTTGTGGAGTTCACACTGTCAGTGGAGAGCACGGGCCAGGAATGTTTGGAGGCAGTCGCCCAGAGATTGGAGTTAAGAGAGGTATGTCAGCAATAGACAGGGTTTGGCTTGTTCGTTGCCCATATTAGGTTTGTTATGTACAAGGAGTATTGTTGCACCTAAGTGAGAAGTGATTGAAAAATGTGTCGTACAATTCAGAAACGGTCTAAAATTGTTGTGGAAAAATAAAGCTCTACAATCGTACTTTCAGGAAACCAGCAAACAAACTGGTCAAAGTGGTTGCGAAGAACACACTTTTGAGTTTTATCATTTGGAACCGAACATCATTATCAGGAAAAAAAAAGTCATACAGCAAATTTGCTGGCGAACATTCATCTCTGAAGTTGTACGATTCAGAAACCGCCTGAATTTGTCAGGAAATATACAACCTGAAGTGGCACAAAAACTGGCCACTGTTTTCACTGTTTCCAAACCAGAGGTTGAAATTGCTTTCTGTAATGCTTACCTTTATGTGCCATGTGATATTTCTACTTTCTCCATGCACTAGATTACATTCTTCAGTCTATGGTACCTGAACAAGCAGAACCAGCAGAGGTGGATTGACTTGGAGAAGCCACTGAAGAAGCAGCTGGACAAGTATGGCGTGGAGCCTACTGTCTACTTCGGAGTGGTGTTCTACATCCCTAGTGTCGCCCAGCTGCAGCAGGAGATCACAAGGTAACAATGTTTTGTTTTAGTCCAAAACAGATTTAAAAAAAGATGACTTCGATATTGTCTGAATGCTGACAAACCCCACTAGGTAATATAGCAGAATTTGTAAAGGTCAAGGAAACAACAATATTGCAGCTAGCAGTCGCAGTCAACACCATACCATTTCCTTTGTGACCACTTGTCCATTGGTGTACTAAAAGGACCATGTCTGTTTTCACAGATATCAGTATTATCTACAGTTGAAGAAGGATGTGCTGGAGGGCCGCATCTCGTGCACTTTAGAACAAGCCATCCGCTTGGCTAGCCTTGCCGTACAAGGTAGCGTGAATGTTTTTTTGCATGCGTCTGCTATTGTGCAATTGGTTTCATCTCCTGCTGTCTCAGACAAAGGAATTACGAGCACGACAAATAGTGATTACCCATAAGACGCAATGACAACAACGCCCCATGAAAGTAGTTCTCGCATAGTAGCCTGGGGTGTTTGTCGGCGCTGTTGCAGAGAAGAGCAGGTATTTAAGAAGACGTCACTACCTGTACAAGCACATTTAAAGACGTGTTTAGTAATTATATGCCATACTTAAAAATATTGTCTGTCCTTTTGGTAGACAGACACCTTGCGCAGACACCAGTTACTTTACTAGTTGTTACATCTGCCACATTAAAAAAATAAACACCTACCCCCAGAAAAGTAATTCACTTCCTGTATACTTAAATCTGTTCATAGATTTCAGTGTTCGCTGTTGGATCATAAAACATTTAACGACTGAGCCCATTTGCACTCTTTAGCCAACTAAAACAGCAGCACCAACACACATACTGTCATTTCTGGACTACAAATGGCATCTGACCAAAAGCCGCACCGGCTAAATTTATTCCCAAAACAAAGATGTACACAAATTGCCCGCTTTATTTTTATCATGAGTCTCCACGTTATCAAATAGGACATGAGCAAAGTGAGAGGTCACACAAATGGATTTCATGTGTTACAGCAATACTGAAGCATATTTATAATTTTCATATATACCCGTGGGTGAAATTGCAGATCTGGAGGTAAAAATTACACGAGCGGCGTATGCACTAAAGTAAACTGGAGCGTCAGTATATCCCCATTTTTTATCTTTATTCTTGCCCCCGTTCTCTCTTTGTAGCAGGCTGCATCTTCCTTGACTGACACTCTATCTTTTGATGGTTTTGTTTGGGGTTTTTTTTTCCTAGAAAAAATACTGTTTGTTTGTGATGTTTTTTTTTTTTGATAGCTACATTTCTTCATAAAATTTGAATTTACTGGTAATATTGTTGTTCGACTTTAAATTCATATTCAACACACACACAGTGACTTGTAAATGTGTACCCTGAGCCCAAAGCTGTGACATATCCTACCAACCTTTTGGCCAGCCAGAAGAATCTCAAACACTGCTGGTGAAGTTATATTGGTCCCTACTGCTTGTGTGCCTGCATTTTAGCATAGCAGAGCCTCTGAGATCACTTTTGGACCTCAAAGACCTTCACCATTTCTATATTTTTGTCTGCTTCCACTACTGCTAATTAAATTCATCAAAAAAAAAAAGAAAATAGTCACATTGTGCCAAAATGAAATGGACAATCTCCCATCTGGGGTCCACAACAGGGGCACTGGAGTGAAGGGTGTGTTTTAGAGCATTGCTGATGCCGAGGATAGTGAACATAGTTGCGAATGTTGCCAGGAGTCCGACTGAAGCTTCAGCAGATGCGTTGACACCGATTGACACGTTTGCATGTGAAAGGAAAATCAAATGACTGGACACCTTTCTCAAATGCAAGCTTTACGTTTGGCAAATACACATTGTGGACTTTTTTCTTGATGGATGTTTCTCTCCATTTTACAAGCTGACTTTGGAGACTTCAATCGCTACGATTCCCAGGAGTTTCTTCAGAAGTTTGCGCTCTTCCCTATCGTAAGCACTTTCCCTATTTCCTGCTGCACCCACGCGAAGAAAAGACATTTTCGGGAAATCACTTTGCACCGTTGGGGCTTTGTCATTGCAGGACTGGATCCAGGATGAGCGAGTGCTGGAGGAGGCCACTCAGAAAGTGGCTCTTCTCTATCAGTCTTACAGGTGAGCCACCTTGGCGTACGGCCAGTCGACCCTGTTTTCATCAGTTGATTCATTCAAACGAACTCAAATGCCTCACAACAAACCACATGTCGCTCTCCTCTCTTATTGATCTGAAGAATGTAAACAGGAAGATTTGTTTATGGACTAGCGAGTGAAAAAGTGCCGATAAACACAACAGTGACTGTAATCTAGCTTGCAGTCCACTCAACCGTGACAGCGTTCTGTTGCAAACGGGCCAAGACCGCCTCTTCAAGCGATCTCGGTCCAGACTTGACTGAGCAAACGTCACCACCACATTTGGCTTTCAAGGAGCCTTAGGTTGTTTTTTTTTTTTTTCCTCCCCACACTTTAAAACTGTTCCAACATGACCCTAAAGCTTGTCTGTGACGTTCTCTTGCCAAGGAACAAGACTAGCATACGTTTCTTGTTTTGTTAACACCGGACAGTGTTTTGGGTCTCATGCAAGTGAGCAACTGTTTACGCCGCCGGCCTTGCACCGCGGGTTCAATGGCAAGTGCGGCTTTTCGACTGGTGATTTCTACTTGCAGAGTGTGGAGAGAAAAGTGAGCGCGCGTAAAGGCAATAAAATCATTTTCTCTCACGGAGGCATCACTTGATACGATACAGTCTGCATATGCGCGATGGCCAAACACAAATACCCGCCATGTGTCGACAACTTACTTGACAATTCAAGGATGTGCCTGCCTACACTTGATGAGAGACCCAACTATTTGCTTACAAGATGGAAATTCACGTTTTCATATGTTTCCTTTGAAACTCATTCACTCCCAAAAACGTCTTTTCAGACTTGGTCTACAATTGGCTGGTACTGAATGAGTTAACCAGACCAACACTGTCCAGTGTGAATACTTAAGGACACACTGCTGCGCGCGCGTTATTGAAATTATTGGCTTGTGTCGTTCTCAGGGGTTTGTCGTCCCCAGAGGCCGAGATGTTGTACATGCAAGAAGTGGAGAAAATGGAAGGCTACGGCCACGAGAGCTATCAAGCCAAGGTCGGTTCTAGCTGGCTTCCAATGCGGGCCGTAAAATGTCAAATCTGTTTATAAAAGGAGTTGCTTTTCTCACGTTGCGTAAACAGGACAACACGGGCACGGATGTGACTTTGGGCTCCTGCCTCGATGGCATCTTTGTCAAACACAAAAATGGCAGGCCTCTTCATTTGTTCAGGTAATCCATGCGGTTCTCTTGCGCCTACATTTGGCCTGAAAGGAACCAAGTCACAGAGACTGACTGCTCCGTAAACATTGTCTCACTCTTTAGCGACACGAATGCTAGACCCGCTCTCCCTTGCGTGTCGTTGCTATTGAGCATTTTGCTGTGACTGCAATGACATCATGCAATGACTCCTTTCTTTTTGCTTAAATTGGCCGTGTAGGTGGAATGAAATTAACAACATGAGTCACAACAGGTCTTTCTTTGCCTTGGAGTTTCTCAACAGAGAGGAGAGTGTCCAGTTCCAGACCGTAAGTCTCTCTCCCTCTCACCCCCCCTTCTCGACATTGCTCTCTCAGTGGAATTAGGTTCAGCCAGTCAGAACAACATGCTGTTGTTGTCTGGGTCTATAGGCCATTAAAGTCACATCGCATCATCTGAAAGTCTGTTTGTAGGAATGCAAGCTGCAATCTTCTCTCTGTGTCTTGTCTTTTTTTTTTTTTTTTTCACTTCCCCTTGTTTTGTATCGCAGGAAGACATGGAAACTTCCAAATACGTGTATCGCATGTGTCTGGCCCGACTCAAGTTTTATAAGCTCAACAAGAGCAGCCTGTAAGTTTCACACGTCTCGCCCTCTTCCTGCCTCTTTTGTCGCTTGTCTGTCGAGCGCCACTCCTGATTCTTGGAAGACTCACTTCTGACCTCCTCCTACCCCTACGCCCTCCACCCCCCACCCCCTCCCCTCCTCCTCAGGGAGGAGTGTGCCCCCATGCCTCCTGTGGGCTCCCAGAAGTCCCTCCTCACTCTAGCCTTTCCTCGTTTTCCAATGCTCTCTCGTCCCTCTCCGCCTTCAAATAAGGGGTGAGCAGCGCAGTTCGCCAAAAACAAGTACAACCAACAAACACAGAAGCTAATTATTAGGACCACAGTATTTTCTTTGCTAAGCTACTCATTTGTCATGCACTGTCAGAGACATTCATTGAACTATCAGTTCAATGTTATTGTGGTTATGGCACACACAGTATACTGAAAGCTGCTTTAACTAAGGCTGCACTGATCACAATTTTCTGGCCAAGCCCTTATTTTGAAAAAGTCTTGACCTGCTGATCCCAATTTTTTTCTTCCATAACCCAACAGCATACACCTTCAATGTTCCAATCTTGTTTTATTGTAAAACATTAAACGATACCTGTGAAACTGTACAAACAGGTTGTTTAAAGTGCACAAGATGTTGTTCTACAAATAAAAATATGACGATTTATTAGTCATCTCGCAGCAGAAGAGGACAGTTGCTGACTTTTTCAGACCTCCGCGAAGGGAGATGAAATCTGTGAAGATCTGTTTTATTTTAAGGGACCGACCGATCGTCGATTTCTTCCCCACCCACCAAAATTCAGGAAATTGCTGCTGAGCCCGACTGATCAATCCATGAACCCCTAGTTTAAATTTTTGTTTGTTTGTTTGTGAGAACTTTTTACCCTCCACACATTGGCAATGATTTATGTCATTGAATTTATTATTTCCGATTCAGAGATTGTTATGTCCCTAATTCTTATGAGGTGGCTGCAATGAATCGAATATTTGATTCTTAAAACTCATTCACTGCCATTGACAGCTGTCGGTGATGTATGTTAAATGCAAGGGCTGGCAGTGAATGAGTTAAGAGTAGTTTTCCTCCTTGCGTCGTTATCTTGACAGCTACTTCATAAAGGAAATATCACAAAGCTGTGACTTGCGACGAGTCGACCATTATTGTGTTCACTCCTAAAATCGGGACTGCATATAATGTATTCTAGTAAAAATGGATTTCAGGCTTTTCAGGGACCTTTTAAGTACCATGTTTTTGGTTTTTTTTTTGGGGGGAGTTGACTGGCTTGTTTTCTCACCAGACAAACACAGTCCACAGTCGTCAACCCGGTCAGACGTCGATCGTCAACAAGATTGTCCCTGGTGAGTTCAGTGCGCACTTATTTATTCAAATGTTTATTCCCGCCAAGCAATTTGATTGGATAAAAGTAATTCCATGGGTGTTGTGATACAGTACATCAACATTGTGACTTAATCTCCGACATCATTCCGCGCCATGTGTTTTAAACAGTGAACCGAGCCTACATCACTGATTAGTGTGTTGTTTATTTATTTATTTTTTAACAGAACTACATTTGTCACATCAAATCATTTCATCAGCTTTAGTTTGAAAGGTGCCAACTAGCATCCAAAAAGTGACAAAGAAGTGTCAATTTCTTGCATCTTGCGTTTTGGAGGCTTTTATTCAGAATTAAGATAGTCAGCTTCATCCACAGAGTGTACACTGAGCAACCTAGAGCATGGACTAGCTAACCAAGTTAGTTGCTGAAATGTAAACATCACGAGAAAACTAAGTCATTCATTTTTGTTTCCTTCCTGAACAGCAGACAAAGCCTCAGGGCTTCATGATGCCCCCGCCACAAATGCACTACAACGGCCACTTCACGGAGCCCTACACGTCATCGCAAGGTAACTTTAAGCTTTGTTGCGTCAGCGGTCATCAGCGGTGCTCATCCCCCGGACATGTTGCTTTGTCATAGACAACCTGTATATGAACAGCCAGAATGGTTACTACTACCACTCCCAGACCAGCCTGGACTGCCCACCTATGGAGTACAGCAGCGGGGGGCGCTTGCGGAACGGCAGCGTGTACAGCGCCCACAGCACCAGCTCCCTGACCAACCCCCAGCACTACCTCCAGCCCTCACCCATGTCCTCGAACCCTTCAATCACCAGCGACATCACCCGGCCTGACTACGTGCCCTCTCACCGCCACAGCGCCCTCATCCCGCCTTCCTACCGCGCCACTCCAGATTACGAGACGGTGATGCGGCAGAAGAGCCGAGGCGGCGGGGGGATGCTTTTGTCTCAGGAGCATCGGCAAAGTCACTCAATGAGGAACCTGAACATCGGGAACTCGTACGCTTACAGCAGGCCAGACCCTCTTGTTTACAGTCAGCCCGAGATCCGAGGGGAGCACGGCGGCACCGCCCAGCACCACCACCACCACCACCACTATCCCTTCCACGTGGGCTCCAGCTTCCACAGCCCGTCGCCGTACCACGCTTACCCAATCGAGAGGAGACCCGTGGTGGGAGCCGTCAGCGTCCCAGAGCTCACCAACGTCCAGCTCCAACAAGCCCAAGAGTACCCAGCCCCCAACATCATGAGGACGCAGGTGTACAGACCGCCTCCGCCGTACCCGTATGCTCACCCGCGGCCCGCCAACAGCACGCCAGACCTGTCGCGTCACCTCTACGTCAGCAGCAGCAACCCGGACCTGATCATCACGCGTCGCGTGCACCACTCGGTCCAGACGTTCCAGGAGGACAGCTCGCCTGTGGCTCATTCTCTGCAAGAGGTCTCCGAGCCTCTTTTGAGCGGGCCGGCGCAGAGACCACCTTTCCACGCCCAGAAGCGCAACTCCATCGAGATAGCCGGACTGGCGCAGAGCCTCGAAGGGATGCGACTGAAAGACCGGCACGTGTCACCTTCGGCGGCCGAGGCTGCCTCGCCTCCCCCGGCCCCGCGCGGAGTTTGCTCGCGGGGTTCCCAACTCAATGTGTTTTTGGAGCGTGTCAAGACGGAAGACGGGAGCGACACCAAGGACGACGTGCAGTACGGACACAAGAAATCCCTCTCTGACGCCACCATGCTGGTGCACAGCAGTGGCGATGAGGAGGAGTTTGAAGAAGACGCAGGGCGCCACACGCCGCTCTCCCACGAAGCGATCGCCGCCATCATTCCGGAGGGGTCTCCGCAGCACGTCTTCACGGCTCCTCAACAACAGACTCCCCTTGAGCCCCCGCCTGCTTATCCCATCGGCTCGTCTCTGGACCCCTCGCTGGCCTCCGCCCTCGCCTACAAGGCTCATCCTCTGATCCACGAAGCTGTGCCTCTGCACCTGCGCGAGGAGCGACAACGCAGAATCATGCCCTCGGTCTCAGAGGGAGATCTGAGCGGCGAGGCCAAGCACAAGTCCAAGAAGGACTTGAAGAACAGACCCGTGTCTGATGTGCCTCAGGCCAAGAAGATCATCGAAGGTTTACCTCCTCCGGTGAGTCGTTTCTGACGTTTACATTTTGAGCCCCTTTCACGCAGCCTATCAAGGCAGGTGTTTCTGAGCCACTGCACCGATGTAATTTGGAGTTTTGGAGTCAACCCATTCATTTGTTGGCTTCAGAGTTTGTATCGTACGTACAAACGTAGGTGAGTTGTCTGTGGGGGGGGGGTATCAAGTTGAACCCCAGACACTTCTCCTGCCCTTGGACAAGTAGTGTTTATGTCATACAGTCAAACCTTGGTTTTCGACTGTATTTGACAGTAGCGGCTAGTGTGGCACCTGTAATGCTCCAATTTTGCAGAAAGTAGCATTGTGAAAATCACTTCAGTCAGACATCTATCTGCATCGATGTATTTTCCTCTTTTTTTGGACCCCACCTCGCTATATTCAATGCTGTGACGTGTCCATTTGACCCATTATCATCCATATAACCTCATATGCGCCGTCAATTGCCCTTCCTCCCGGGCCCATTAAATCCCAACAAGCCTTCAGCATTGTATCAGCGTGACATCAGCTTACTTCAGCTGCCGTGGTATGACACTCAATTTAGAAGTACGTCAGGAAACCGGCTGGGTGACATTTCACCGGAGATGCTCTCAGCGGGACGCTGTTGTCTCCACCCTCGGAGCGAACTACGCTTCGCCGGCTGTGAGAATCATACAGAGTCCACCTCAACATAACCCTGCATGTACTCGTTTTGCCACGCCAGGGCATGAAGAAGAGCGTGCGGTCGGACGTGAGGAAGATGGGGGCGCTCAAGGTGGCCCATCTCAACGGCCTGTCGATGTCCAGGCACCCGGTGCAGAGCGAAGCAAAGGACGAGCCTGAACGAGACTCCAATGACGAAAGGGTAAGGATGAATCTGAACACTTTGTGAAACTTAGCAGCCACTTGACTTGTTTCGAGTGAAACTGGTTAGCCAAGTTCACCTGGATGAAGCTTAAACAGTACACGGTGTGGGTGAATTCATTGCTGTAAATTGGATTTCACAATAAGGGGGAGTCTGAGTGCTTCTTGTCGAGGCAAGCGGGTTCATTTCAGCGATATGCTCGGAAGCGGATGAACGTGTGCGCCGCGTGAATAGTTAGCTAGCCGATCATCAACACCTCTGTCGTTAGTTTGTTACCGACCTCTCTCACTCAGTCATGCACGGCAACAAATGAAAGTCGTTGCCCCAGACAGAACGTTCCCCCCGCTAGCTAGCTAACAATAGCTAGATTATCTATCGACAACTGTAAATAGGAAAAGAATGTGAATGGTCGACACCCTCGCTAAACGGTACCTGTGCATCGATGCCAAAATGGAGAGGATCATCAATGCTACGTACGCAATCATGAACCCATGTTGCGTGAACAGTTAAAACAGGAGAATACAGGCAATTTGGAACAGCAAATTAGACTCCACCAGTAAAGAAGCAAAACCATTATTTCAATGTTGCTTTTGATGGTGCGCACTGGATAAAGTGCATTCAAGAACCACCAACACCGCAGGACATCTGCTATGACAGACCAAAAGAAAAAAATCACCGTCAATGAATTACACCTAACAAGTAATAAATTTGTTGCTTAGGCCTGAGCATGAAAAACAGCAAACAATGGAGGCTGGTGTATACAGAACTGCAATTTGAGGGGGCTCACTGTTTGCTCCAACCTCAAATCTCACAAAATGTGTTGTCACAAACGATGATGGTCGTCCCAAATCGTGTTGTCCTTTTGAGTCATATTTTTGTAGAACCGTAAATTGTCGGACTTGACTTTGAAGGTTCCAAAGGACTGTTCTACGTTATATCATCGGTCGTGTTAAGACTATTCAGACTCTGTGTTGATATTCCATTGATTCATTGTTGTTGACAACTAAAATCCAGTCCAGTTTGGATGCGTTTTCAGTTACAATAGCTTTTGACACGACATACTGAAAAATGGTTTAAAACTAAACTAAACGAAATCACCAATCCTGTTTCAGTGCAAATTCCTGGAGCAGCACATGGAGATGGGCGAGCTGCTGAAGGAGTACGAGAGCATCCCTAAGTGTCGTTCGGCGGCCGATTGCACAGTCGCCCAGATGGCCGAGAGCGCCGACAAGAACCGCTTCCAGGACGTGCTGCCCTACGACGACACCCGAGTGGAGCTGGTGCCCACCAAAGAGAACAACACGGGCTACATCAACGCGTCGCACATTAAAGTAAGAGCTCGCGCACTCCACTGAGAGCCAAAGCGAGACAAGAATCAAAGGTTTGACTCACACCGTATCCGTTTGCCTCAAAAATCGTCTTCCCTTGCAATGGTTTTGAAAATCTAGCCCGTGACACCAGTTTCACTTAGGAACACGAAATTTGGCGGGCATGTCTATCAGGAGCAGACCCACAAAAACATCTCAACACCCCTTGCTCGAAAAGACAAAGTTTGGAGCGCCCATTTTTGGCTCATTTTGGACCTTTTGCGGGTGTCCTTAAACAGGCCAGATAAGAGATTTTGTAAACGAAGTGCTTTTGGACAGTTTTGCTTGGCAGCACAAAATATGGCTGTCATGTCCATCCTTATGCCCACAAAAAACAAATCTCAAGAAGCCCTGCCAGAAAAGACACAGGAAGTTTGCTGTTTTAGCTTTGCGGCCACTTTAGAGTTGATGTTGTGTCCAGTTTGACTGAGCAAAATGACAAATGCCCGCAATAGTGTCTCAAGAATCCGTACACGGAATAACAGTGGAAGTCAGCCATTTTGGTTTGAAGACGGACATTTTGTAGTCTTTCCGTTTTTGGGTGGGTTTTTTTGTTTTGGGAGGGGGGAGTATGGCAATTTCTAGGTGCTAGTCAAAGATGGACTACTCCACCGAGATTTTGGAAATTCAGCACTGGAAGCCAGGTTCACTTTACATTATGAAATTTGAAGACCCACAAAAAAAAAAAAGAAAAAAAAAAGTTTGAAGGACTCATGACTAAAAAGGCAGTGAAACTTCTATTTTAGGGCCCTGTTCTTTATTTTCATGAACTTGTCCAAGAGGTTTTATCTGATTGCGACCAAATTTCAGTCACGCAAACGAGATCGGTAGGCGATGCTAAATTGTGTAACAATTACATTTGTCATCGTGGGAGGGCGGAGCAGGGCGGTGAAACTTGATGACTTGTCAAAACACTCTTTGGGTGGCCGATGAGTGTTTATATGTCAGAACAAGTAACACAAGCGTCCAGAAAAATGCACAGCATCCTGCAACGCGAGTGAGTGTCGGGAGGCTTGTGGTCGAACAGGTTTTCCTGTAACTTGTGTTGTTTTTGTATGTTTTGTTTTGCTTTTGAAAGAGGAAGTGTTTGTCTTATGTCTCGGCAGATCAACATAGGAGGACACGAGTGGAACTACATCGCCAGCCAGGGGCCTCTTTCCAACACATGCCAGGACTTTTGGCAGATGGTGTGGGAGCAAGGTGTCGCCATTATCGCCATGGTTACCGCCGAAGAGGTGCGTTGTTTGAGCAGCCCCCTTTCCCACTGTCTTCTGAAGCCTCCCCCACCCCCCTCGCTTGTTCTATACTCCACCTGGCAGATTTACGTATCACGTCTTTTTAAAATCGATTACCTGAAGACTGAATTATTCCATCGAGGATCAAAATAAAGACAAATGATTCAAAAATATCATGACGCTACAACGAGCCAATGCCAGAACTGTGACGTGTTGTTTAAACATTGGATCAAAATTGTTCACAAGCTGTTTTTGTTTTTAATGTGATCACTGATTTAAAAAAAAAAGAATAGCTGTTAGAATCGGTGTTGCGGGCGGAATGTAGCGTTTAGTGATTTCCTGAACAAAATACAAACAATCCGTAAGAGTTGGGAGCGCTGCAGCATTTTTCTGCCTTTTTCTAAGAGGGGGAGAAGTCAGGCCACAAATTTTCTGCCTTCAGAGCTAGTATGAAAGCTCAAACTGAGGTGGGACGGGCCCTTGCGCCTAAGGGAGTGTGTGTGACATTGCACACCCGACGCTGGCTCTTCCTTCCCGCGGCGTGTTAAAAGCGCTCGTCTCCCGTCTTGCGCAGGAGAGCGGGCGAGAGAAGAGCTTCCGCTATTGGCCTCGTCTCGGCTCGCGGCACAACACGGTGACGTACGGCCGCTTCAAGATCACGACGCGCTTCCGCACCGAGTCGGGCTGCTACGCCACGACGGGCCTGAAGATCAAACACCTACTGTCGGGCCAGGAGCGCACCGTGTGGCACCTGCAGTACACAGACTGGCCAGACCACGGCTGTCCCGATGATTTCAAAGGCTTCCTCAGTGAGTCGTTTTGCTTCGGACTTTGGCGATGACTTTTGGAGGCCTAACGTGGGTGTCGCGGTGTTTCCAGCCTACCTGGAGGAGATCCAGTCGGTGCGGAGGCACACCAACAGCATTAGTGAGCCAAAGAACAGCAACCTGCCCGTACTGGTGCACTGCAGCGCCGGAGTGGGGCGCAGCGGCGTGGTCATCCTCTCCGAGATCATGATCGCCTGCCTGGAACACAACGAGGTAAACGTATGATCGGAGACGTTCACACGAGGAATCCAATTGTGACTTTTTTTTTTTTCTTTGTTCCCTTCAGTATTGCGATGACTATTTATGCCGTTATTTTTTTGTCAAGGTGCTCAAGAAGTGCTGCTCACATGTTCACGCGTCATTGTTTTATGAAACATGGGTCATTTTGCTTGTCTCCCGAAAAAGTTAGCATGTTATTTAGCTTGGGGGGTTGGGGGGGTTTAACGTTGTTTTGTATTGAGTAGCTGGACCCTTTCCTTACGTCTTCCATCGTTTCCATTTCTCACCCCGCAGATGCTGGACATCAAAACTGTTTTGATGAAGCTACGCCAGCAGAGGATGATGATGGTCCAGACCTTGTCCCAGTACACCTTCATCTACAAGGTGCTCGTCCAGTACCTCCGCAACTCCCGCCTCATCTGAGAACCCCGAAAATATGCCGTGTGCTCCTACAAGGCTGACCCACAACTCTCCTAAACAGTATTATAGTGTTTTGTTTTGTTTTACATTGATTCTTGCTGGGTAAAGCACTTTTTAACAGTACTCTGCTGTAGCGCTCAAGCTGCGTCAAAACTATGACGACCAACGCGACTTCGTGACAAAGCGAGCAGAAGGTGACAAATGAAGGAAAATGACGCAGCCACAAAGGATTCTTTATAAACTTGAAAGTTCTTTTATTTAAACATTTGATCAAGTGCCTGCAGACTATTTTTTTTTTAACGATGGACAGTGTGATTGCGGTGAAACAAAATGTTTGCGTGGCTTTTGTGTATGTGTGTGCTGAACTACAACAAGAAGGTCAGAAGACGCATGCACGACACCGCATGTGACTTAAAATCCTTCTAAATTTCAGGGTTTCAGATTTTTGTTTTTCGAACACTGACCGAGTCTTAGGGTTTCTTTTTTGTGGCCGTTTTGTCCATGTTCATGTTTTTGTTGATAATGTACACAATGTAAGATTTGTGTTTACTGTACAAACTGTATAAAGTCTATATATGATGCACAAACTAAATGGTGTGCCTCTGAAATGTTTAAATAAGAGCATAAAAAAAAAATCTGACTCGAATAAACATGTGAAAATGTTCAGCAATTGTGGCCAGGCGGTGATTATTCACTCAACAGCAGACGGGTATGATATTCATTTATGTGAAGACACTGATCATGTACATGCTTTTTCACAATATTTAGAAAACATAAATACCACATGGAACACTTTTTTTCTACACATCTACCATTGTTTACAATTTCAAATGAAGACTTCGACAAATTTCCGAGGAAATCACAATGTCCAGTTATTTTTTTAGAACAGGTCAACTTGTGGTCCTTGGGGGGGGCTACCTGGTACCTGTGGGCACTACGTTGGTGACCCCTGATCTAGACAACACGCTTAAAAACAAAACAAAAAAGTCTACCAAATAAAACAGGTCAACCGCAAAGCCATCCGATGATTTAATGGGGGGGGATAATCGAGAGAACAAGCGCTGTCAACCATCATTGCCAAAAGACTCTCAAATACCCACATTTAATTCATTATTTCATAACCATTGTTTTTGTATTAAAATATACGGTAGCAACAGTTGCCGGAGCAATCCACTTTCTCTTTAACGGTCGAGCCGCGGAGTTTGCGGTTCAATAAAATATGATGCGCCATAAAACATTTCTCAATGTGAACACCAGGGGTCACAGTTTTTCCGTTTTGTAAATTGGTTACACAATATTGGAATTGTATCCAAATCAGAATATGTGCCAGGGTCACTTGGGCTGCCTGGTGTGCAAGTGCAGGGGGCCACAGACTAATTTGTTCACCGCCCGGTGTGCAGTGGACCTCAAGTGGATGCCGTGCTTGGTGAGCATGGCGTCTTGGCATAATGGCGTGCCCACTATTTGAGGGGTAGTGAGTGTCCTTTTACTTCAAGTTTAGAAAAGGAATACGATATTCATTAAAAACATGGAAAGTTACTGAGGTTGATGTACAAGAAGTGACTGTTCAGCTGCATAGCCAACGACAGACTGAGCTTTTTCTGTTCAATTTATTGCAAAGTTTTGTCGAGTCGTGAGAAAGAATAAAAATCAAATCAATACTGGTACCGTCCGCGCTTTCCACCGTGCCCCCCGTGGTTGTGCCTCCCACCACGCCAACCTCCTCCTCCTCCTTTTCCCCCTCCCCATCCACCACCCCCACCTCCACCCGCCTCTGTCGGGAACTCTTCCCATTTGGATCTGATGAACACGTGCAAGTGGCAAATGAGAGGGTTGTTTTATTACGCGGACTTTAGTTCTGTTTTTTTTTTTTTTTTAATTGAATTTAAAAAAAAAAATTAATCGCTTTTTTTTTTCTTTAAGTAGATTGAGCACACCTTGTTCACCGGGGACACAGTCTCTTTTTTATTATTTTCGGGAAATAAAATGGGATAAAATACAATCCAAAATTTATGGGGAAAAAAACAGCGAAAGATTGAATGCATGTGGTTGACTGTCCATAACCTTTTAAAATAAAAATGACAAATTAAAAAAAAAAACTGTAGTTCTTACCTATTTGTATACTCTTGTATTTAGCTGAACATAACTAAAACGGACTAGATTTGATCCACTGAAGAAGATGTGGCGACGTCTTGCACGTACCTTGTTGACGGCGCAGGCGGTGTTCTCCCTGCTGGCGCCGCTGCTCGTCTTGACCACGTAGCAGACGTCCTCTCTGGCGGCCAGCAGGGCCGCGGCGTCCACCGTGGCCTCGGCCCTCAACGCGTGTCTCTTGGGCTGGTACGCCTGAGCCATGCTGTCCACCCTCGCCTGAATACACATCAGAAAAATCACGAAATATAAAAATAAGACATTCAAATCATCGACACAAATGGAAAATATGACATTCCAAAAGAAATGTATAAAATAAATATCGGTCATGGTTCCTCCAATAGGATTGTGGCAAAGCTAAAAAAAATAATAATAATAAAAATTACCACAAACAGAAAACGTGGCTTTTTGTAAAGATTCCTGATGTCAATACTAAGATGAAACATTTTTAATTCTTTTTCTGAAGATAACTGTTGACGAGAAATTTTTTTATTGGTTAATTAGCCGCAAATGAATTGTCCGTTTCAATTCATGTGGTGAGCATTTGAGGTTTTTTTTTTCCCCCCCATTAAGAGAATAATACCAACAATCAAGATGAACCAATTATCTGTCACGAGGACGCTTTTTGAAGTACGCTTTCCCACATTGTGTCGGTTGAACTGTACACTGCATCACTTTCGGGGGCTTTGGCGGTTGTTCCTGCAGCTAAAAGGACGAAACGTGCCTTGGCCCTGTCGGACCAGCCGAACGATTGAATGGTGACATCCAGCCGCTTGATGAGCATCCTGCGCCGGCACTCGTACTCTGACGACATGAGCGCGTTCATGCTGCGGAGCTTCTCCTGTAGGAGGACACGCAAGCGGAAACCGTCAGTCACGCCGGACATACATCAGTCTGTAAGCCCTTGAGAAAACGTTTAAAATCATTCAAACACATTTTAAAACGGGACATATTGAGCGAGCACAACGGCAACGGAGAACAAAAAAACGCAGTTCGTGTCGTGTATCCGTTTGTTGACAGTAGGGATGTTTGATACTTTTTGTCAGACCAATGAATAAGCGATACCACGAGGACTTCAGATCCACAAAACTGATGTCACATCATTTTAAAGAAAGAGATTTTAATGATTTTGTCATTTTTTTTTCATTTGGAATAAATGAACATGCGAGCAAAAAATAAACAAAACAAAACAAAAAACTCACTCTGTAGTTGAGGATTGAAGTTAAAAAAAAAAAGAGTTTGAGAGAGTTTTAGTGTCCAACAGAGATAAGAGAGGCGCTCTCCAGCAATTTTCAGTACTTGACATTAATTAACTCATTCACTCCCAAAGACGTTTTTAAACGTCTTTTCAGACTTGGTCCAGAATTGGCTGGTACTGAATGAGTTAATAATTTATTTTTAAAAATAAATACAAATAAATAAAAGACCACAAGGGGACTGACCAATAGTATCAATTTAAGAAAAAAATAAGAAATTGTCCAAAGTTTGGACATTGGAAACTTTCTGCCTGAATGCTTCAATATGGAAACATCATCATCATCATCATCATCATCATCATCACGTACCCACTGTTCACTGCTGAGAGCTTTCTTCAACGCGGGCTTTCCCACTACGCCATTCGGAAAATTTCCAACAAGTGTATCCACCTGCAGTCACATGTTCCACCTCAGTTGAATGACGTTTTTTGGCGTTTTTTTTTTTTTTAACCATTTCAAACACAGCAACGAGGAAATTAGTGAGCCTCACCTTCTTTTGGACTAGAGAGAGCACATCGGCAGCATCCTGTCCCTCACGCAGCGGAACGTTCACGATCTGGCAGATTTGCCGCAGCTCCAGAGACGCTTTGCCCGCGTTTTGTCCCCAAAGGCCTCCTCGTTTGCTGGTGGCAATCTGCGCCGCCTGAAGTTCGGAGCTTAAAAACACTACACGAAAAAAAACACAGAACGCGTGGTTGGCAATCAGCTTGGTTGAGTATAACATCTAAAACACAACGGAACTTAAATAATATATATTATATCATACAACTAGAATAATGTAATATTATATTGTATAAAATATTACGATCCTTCGAAAAATCATCCCACTCTGGCCTCACCTATATTTTATTTGCCTTCTTTTAAAACACATAACAATAACAATAAACTGTGAAATGAGGCTAGATTCAAATCTTGCTAGCAGCTTGAAAACGACAAACTACACCTTTAACCTGTTTTAGGTGAAAAAAAGATGAATTACTGCAATAAGTATGACAGGAGACTTGGTAATGCAAATGCTTAGTGGGTTGGATTACAGAACGCAGCAAGGTGTACGTCATACATTGTCCGCCTCGGGCAAAGCTATATTGTACTGAGCAGGCAAGACAGACCAATGTGCCAAAAATCTTCTCATGACCACTTCAGGTTCATCAGATTTTAGGTCTTCCAGCTGCGTTTTGAGCTTGTGCGGTGACTTACAGACAAACTTCAGATGGTCTTTAGTGTCTCCCTTCAGTATAACGGACATTTCATACGGGCAGCAAAGCTCCTTCAGCAAGCCCCTTATGTTCACCTCCAGGCTGTCCAAGTCCTCTGCGGGGAGACATGGCTTTCATATAAACATTTCAATGCAGTGGTGGGAAGTAGAACGTACTTGAGTAGATGCATCAATTATCTGACTGAGAGAGGCATTGAAAATTTAGTCACAACATTTTTTGGGTCCAAAAGTGCATTTTCAGTGCACCACAAAGGCGGGCCGCAGGAAAATGAGCCCAAAGATCCGCCACCGAGGCAGCCAGCCATAAGCGAGAAGGCTGTGTGGCCGCCAAGTACCACTTTTTCAGCAGCCGTGAAAGTGTGTGCAATTGCTGGGAACCAACCATAGATCCAGATGAATTTAGCAAAGTGCAGTAAGTGACTGCGACAAACAGGAACACAAGCACATTTTGCAGGGCTGTAGCGCACTATTGGGGAAAAAGGCCGCCGGCTACTTCCTGTATGGTCGCATGGCAACCACAAGCTCTTCTGGGAGCGCTGACCCATAGAAAGGGTACAACAAGCCCCGGATTGTTTTGTCATTTTGGGTTCACCTGGACCCGGAGCGATGGTCTCCTCCAGGTCACAGAGTGGCTTCAAACGGGACACCAACCACCGGCACAAGTCCACATACTCAGCCGACGTCAGGCCACCCTGCGCGGCTTGGAGCAACGCAGCCTCCTTCTTCAGGGGACCGTCATAGCTGAGAAATATTTTGAACAGACATTTAAGAGTTATAGTCGAAGTTAATATGGCACGAGGCCGACAATGTAAAGCAATTCGTTAACATGCTATCTACTGGGTTATCGACTTACCCGAGTTGCTCCAAACAGTCCAAAATGTCAAACTCCATTGCTTACTCTGTGGTTTAACAATCACAACATGACAGTGTTTGAGTACGAGTGTGTTTATGAGGGGGAACGTGTACATTTATTCAAATTCCATGTACAGTATTCCAAACGACACAGACATCGTGCGTGTTAGCATGCTGGTCCGGTAGTGTTTATTGACCGATCAGAAACAAGCTCTTGAGATTTGTTCCGCCTATACTGAAGACACCACAGCCATTTGTCGATGTTCACTTTGGATATATCGGTCGATAGTTAATATCTGCAGGAGATGGTGTAACTCAAAGACACCTTTTTCATCCATCGATCCATTTTCAACACCGCTTATTCTGAACAGGGTCGCGGGGAGTTGCTGGAGACTATCCCAGCTGATTGCGGGCGGACATATTGTGAAACCTGGTTTTATTATATCAGCTACTGTACATACATGTCCATAAAAAAATAAAACAAGCAAATAATACAAGATAAAACCAAATGTTTGTATCGTTTGGTTTAATTATTTTCAAACTAATTTCCAGAACGTAAAACGTTTTGTTATATCTTCTAATTCAGTACTAACTACAAAAAAATAGTGCTTAAATTTTAAAAAGGCCCTTAAAATCATACATACAAGTAGTTATATAAGGATAATAATAATAATTTTTAAGTGAATGTAAAGCAATTGCCTATGTAGAAAAGTCTTTTTTATTGCTAAACATGACTGATATGAATGTGTAAAGATATTGTGTGCACAGTACATGCAACATGTTAGTGTTGCTATCTAGTTATACTAAGGGGAATAAAAGGCTTCACTTACATTTCTTTTATTATTGGATCATTTGTGCCTTTACTGAATTAAATACAATTAAAAAATATGCACAGGATGTGGCGACCCCTTGAGGGAAACGCCGAAAGGAAAATTAGAAGATAGATATGCACAGGCAAGAGTTCAAACTCACAATTTTATTATGATAATGTTATTTGATATGTCAAATTACAAGTGTATGATGTAACATAAAAACAGTTACAAACATATGTATGCCTATTTACATTATATATTTATGAAAAGTAACAAGCTACATCTGTATAAAGAAAATACAACTATGCCGTGGGAGTTATTGGGACTATCAATTTTACATCGCATACTTGGTATTCTCAAATCAACAAAATAATAGGATACCGATATAACCAGAACAGACAGATGTTAAACTGATGGGAGACTAAAATGGACATGAGGCACTTCTTTTGTCGTCGTTGTCGTTTTTGAGGTCGTCAGGATGGCACTAAGAAAATTAAATTAACATAAGAATATGCACAAGGAAAGAAAGGGGAAAAAATGAACAGGCAGTGTTTACAGAATCGTTAATAGTACCATTTATACTGCAAGTTTTTCCAAAAAACACAAAAATGTCTTCCACTATTTCAGAACTAATCACATAAATGTTACATCAAGCGCTGTAAGATGTCAAAAAAGCATACATCGAGTAGAATCAGTGCACCGAAGCGTTGTTGGAGAACCCGAACAAAAACACTCCCAAAAAACTGCTGTGAAAAGTTAACCGTTTTACGTTAGTCTTTTTAAAACAATGCGCTGAAGGAATTCTTTTTTTTTTTGGTCATCATTTTACACAATGTCAACAATGTACATTTGTATGCATTCCCAACGTTATGCACATTTTTTTTTCCGAGACTGAAACCGGATAAAAGACTAGCAGCAAAAGTGGTTAAAACTGAAGTTTATATATATATAAACAAATTTTTTTTAAAAAAAAAGTGTGTGTGTGTGTGTGTGTGTATATATATATATATATATATATATATATATATATATAATATATATTTTTTTTTTTTAGCGGACAGACATATGTTGCATATATAATACAGTACATGACAGGAAGTAGCACTGTGCTGGTTAATGCAGAATGACAAAAGTGTTAGGTTTTTATTTTTTTTCGTGTCCTTTGTAGAAGAAAAAAAAAATGTACATCTTACATTTTGTCAGCCAGCAAGTTTTTAATCAGCTTCATCCAACCTTGGTTCAGCTTGACGACGGGACGACGGGAAACAGACCCAAACGCACACCCACACAAAACGCACACATGCCGCACAAAAGAAAAAAAAAAAAAACAATGCTTAATGCTGTTGGAGAATTAGGGTTTAACAGTCGTTCATAGCTAATTTTCTCTGTCAGCACAATAAAATTAGTGATTGTATCTAGCAGCCTTAAATTCATGTATTTATATATAGATGTATTTATATTCATATAGAAAATTTTCAAAGCAAGTGGAGTGTAACTCCTGTACCGTGTTAGCGCTATCCTTCCGTCTTCCGTACAAAACTAGCGAGAAACTTATTCGACGCTCAATAGTCGTTTTGTTTACCCCCCGACCCGTTGCAAATGCCCTCTACTTTTCAATGTGAAATAATACTACAAAAGGTGGACCTATGTACACAAGTATGCTGTCAATAGAAGCTACCATAGATAATGCTGACAGCAACGATAAATACAGCTCTATCTTTAAAAAGAAGACAACCTTCAAGACAAAACAAGCCAGTTATTATTATTATTATTATTGTGATTGGTATTTAAATACAGTGTTACATATTTACAGGTGTTTGGTACCAAAGCGGGAGGAGGCTTATCTACAATACTTCTTACTACCTACAAAGGTCTTAAAAGAAGCAAAAATGTCCTGTCAGTCTTAAGAATGTGTCCCATGTCGGATGTTTGCATAGAAAGATTAAAAATTAAAAGGTCTGAGGGGAAAAAAAATACTCCCCAATTTTTATGGTTTGTGCTAGAACGTAGTGTTTTTGTCCACATCTAAAAAAAAAAAAAAAATAGTCGATGGACTGTTAAAAATTCGCTTGCAGAACCGACTGTTGATTTACCACACTTTGAAAGCAATGGCGGCAAAAACTACTTGGCTGCAACCACCAGCTTGCTGTCTAAAGAAGTCACCATTTTGGGAAGTTGTGAAGTGTTGACTTAAGTGAGCCTAAATTCTGGGAACTTTACCAGGGGAATCTATGGTCTCTTTCACACAAGAGTTCCAGCAAAATTGCCACATCAAGAGCCCCGACGTGAGATCTGGGATTCATCCGCCTTTGCTTTCGACGCGGAACCCAACAAAAGCAGGATTTTTCAACCCAATAGCGTGCTATGGGCTCTCAATTGTCTGGTGCATCGTATAAAATATGGATTTTCTTGGAAGTGAAAAGGTTGTATCAGGACACCCCCGAACCAAACGTTTCATCTTTACACAAACATGTACCTATAAATAGCAAATTCAGGTACTGATCATTTTGCAGCTCTCTCATTGGAAATGGGTGAGTATACGTACTGCAACATTATCTCTGAGTGACGTTTTTCAGCAAACACTTTAAAGGACCTATATCATGCTACATTAACCTTTTTGGAGAGTGCAGCCATGTTACAATGGTAATTCCTCACCAAAAACACACCACAAAGAGGTGGGTTTCATCTTGGGAGCGTTTTTGCTCATTATTCCTCTCTTTTAAGCACCAGCCCCGCTCGATACAGGAAAACGACCTCGTACCACCCGTGCAGACTAACACACGCCCGCTTTCTCGGAGCAGCTGTCCCCGCAACTTGCGTTGACATGCGGCTCTTCTGATTTTAGTGCCACAAATAAATTATAAAAGGTTTCCGAGTAGCCCCCTGCAATATGCTGTTACCAGTCATTTTGATTTGGTACATTGAGTCTTTCAAGTGTAATTTTGAGATGTCCTACTTTGTGAGCGGTCATTGCACGCACCTCGAGTCGAACGATGACAAAGTTCGGGGCAGAGCGGAGGTGGGGTTTTAGTCAATCAGGCGTCTTACTTCCGGGTTAGAAAACTAGCCGCCAAAATAACTCAGCTGTCAGAAGAAATGACATTGCCTTTGTGCCAAAGGTGATATATAATCATATATACCTATAATGAACTGTGGGAAAACTTAAAATCGCATGATACGCTCCCACCCCCTCAAAAAAATAAAATAAAAAGCAAATATTAGCTTATCGTAGTGGCGTCACTGGTCAGTCATAATTTTTTGAGGTCAGGAGTTTTCCGATTTCCCCGTTGTCTTGAATGCAGCAAAAAAATGATATTTTTTCCTCTGGGTCCTCTCTTTACGGCGGCGTTGACATGCAGGGGTTCGAAGTTCCAAACGGCGTGCGATGATCTAGTTGACTGGGCAGCCTAAGAATACGTGGTCGCGTTTTACAAATTACCGCCGTACTTATCGTATTGCACTGGATGTGTTCGATGCTTTCATCTGCGCAAGAATTAATACTTCAATTCATATTTCCTGTTACAAGGATTCTTTTGCTGGTGATATAAGCTCCATTAAGAAACCAAAAGCAAAAGTACCGTGCCACAGGAAACTGACATTTTTTTAAACCATCTCACACTTTTTGTGCGGGTTATTCTGATTGTTTAAAAAAAAAGTACTTAAAAGTCTAGAATCTGCGAGAGAGAAGATATTCTTTTCACGTGGTTGTCGAAAAAGTCGTCAAGTCAGGACGTTACCAGTGTATGAAGGCCCATGTGCCCGTGCGCGCGCGCACACACACACTCACACGCCATCTGTATGTATTTAATTGCCGAGATACTCAACATTCCTGAAACAATGCACTCATTCATCCAGGTCTTATTAAAACAAAGACACATGAAGGAGTGGACTGGTGACATGAGGATGGGGCACGAAGGAGAAACAATAAAATCAAAAGTGTGGAACAAACATGGGAGGGTCTTTTCGGAGGTGGAGGGGTGCTGCAACCAAAAGCTCGGAGAGCAGTGCTTTTTCTTCAGACAAATTTCTGAATCGCAGAATGGCGTCTCAGTAAAAGAAGCCTCATTTTAAGTGCCTGGTTGTTTTCTTTAAAAAAAAAAATCGAATGGAATAAAATAGGAGCACCGTCACCATCATTCACTCACCGAAACAAAACTTGCTGGTTGAGCAAAATTTTTGCTTTGAATCAGAAGGTGAACAGGGATTTTTTTTTTTTTTTACAACAGCAGTAAATAAGTGGGCTTTCAAATTTGTTAAGATGTCATCTTTCATAACATTTTGGGGAAAGTCAGCATGGTATAATGTTACCATTTTCCCGTCTGACCAATGGAATGACTCCCTTTCTTTTGGAATGCAATCGAAATGGGTCGACGTGAGGCAGTTGCCTAAGGGAAGAAAGCGGCCATGTTCTGCACCACACTGGTGTTTAAAAGGCTAAAATGAGGAAGGGCAGATGTCATGTCTAGTGCACTTTTTTTTTTCTGTCTACTAATTACACTGGGATGAAGGGAAGGAAAGGCCACTGTTACCCGACTGCAACGTCACACAAAATAAGCAAAAGAACATATGTATCCCTTTTAGCATACTCAAACAGCAAGTTATTTTTTTTTCTGAATAGTTGTGTTTTGTTGTTGTCTCTGTACAAAAAGACTCGTTTCCTTCATAAAGTTACACGTTTCTTGTAGTAGAGTTCGGCCAAGTGTATGTCGATGTATATGCGTGTCTTCGTGTGCCGTGCGTTTAGTAACATCTCCGAGTCTGTTAATCTCCACGTCCTCGTCTCCTTATCAGGACTTAGCTCGACGCAAAGATGAAGTTTGTCCTCCACTGCAGCTCGTCGGCGACAAACGCAAACTGAAATCTCCAAATGCCCTCAGAGCTGGCGATCAACACCACCACCCTGTCCCAAAGAGTAGGCGGGGGTGGAAAAAAAAGGATGCCGGCATTGAATAGATCCGCTTTGATCCGCTTCATGTGTTAGCTAGCTTTGAGGGGTTCCCAGAGGGGCGGCGTGGGGTCACCCGGCCGCCTTGTGCTTGCCCCCGCAGCAGCGGCAGGCCTCGCCGCAGTGGTGGCAGGCGCGCAATGGCAGGTAGCAGCACATGCAGGGTGCGATGAAGGACAGCGCCACCAGCGCGAGCCAGCGCAAGCAGAACTGCTCGTCGGACGTGTCGCACGAGCACGGGTCCGAGAAGTCGCCCTCCGAGTCGGACATGCAATGGTAGAGCATGCTCTCGGCACACAGCATGCAGCTGACTTTGTAGATGCACTGCTTGATGGGGTCGGGGGCGTCTTGGCACTGCCCCCGCCAGTTGTCCTCGTGGTTGAACATCTCACGGCAGTAAATGCAGCGCGAGCGCTCGCCGTCCTCCCGTCGCCGCCGCCCCTTCTTGGACTTGAGCAGCGGCGAGGGCTGAGTCTTAATGGCAATGTCCTTGCCCGTGCCGGGGCCCGAGTGGGGATCCCCGCCGAGGCCGTCGGGGAAGAGGTACTCGCACTTCTTACTGTCCAGTTTGTAGAAGGTGGCAGGGAAGTCCAAGTCCTCACGCTCCGCCTCTTGCTTCCACATGACCGGGTGGCGGTAGTCCTCGTAGCCACGGATGAGCACGTCCTTGCGCGGGTTGATGCGAACGATCTCCTCCTCGTCCATGTGAAAGCTGACATGGCGGGTCGATTTGAATGACACCTTGGGGACCAAATAGGACGGCAAAACCAGCTCAGATGATTGCACACAAATAATGAAAAGTATGCCTCACCATCTTGAATTAAGCTCACAATTTTAACAAAAAATAATCCTCTTGTCCACCGCACATTAGCCTGTACTTTCCTTGATTTTGCACTTTGAAATAGTACCGTTAAAAGCCCATTGCATTGAATCCTGAGAAATACCTGCACATCAGAAGAGCCCTGGATTAAACGTAACGTAACTGAGACAAAGCCTGAATTCTGCAGGGTCACTATTCACAAAACTACAGCTGCATTCTTTTGGCATCCCCCAACGACAATGCAATTTTTCCCTATCACGCTCAGTCACGTTTTTGCCCGCGTTTCCCGTTTCTCTATGCTGCTCTCGTGATTGTTTGCAGTTTCCTGTTTACGGTTTTGTTTGACCTCATCTATTGGTTGCTGATTGTGTCAAGTCACTGCAAAGACCGAAAAATGCTTGAAATTGTCCTAAGGCCAAGACGACGAAAAGGCTGATCTCGAAGAGCTAAGGTTACCGCCTCACACTCAATGATCAAGATGACGGGGGCACGCCTTGACTATGTTAGGTGTAAGCCCAGCCTAAGTTGGAACAGGATGTTATAGGGCTCACTGAAAACGTAAAAGGGAAGTCAAGTCAAAAATTAGGTTTGATGTGGCCCCACACGAGTCTACTGATTGTTATTAGTACTCTGATTGAATTGATATGAATTAAGCAGCAACATCCAGGCGTTTTTATCCATCTCATTTGCTCACGCGACCGCATCAAGGTCACAACCAGCTTGCGAATGTCACACGACCCAACTCAGTCAACATAAAACACTGCTGGCATGCCAGGAGGATCAGACCTGTGGCGGCAGGTAACGTCGGTTGCTGGAGGTGAACTCGTCAAAGGGCTGAGCGCGTACGTAGCAGCCCCTGAAGGGCTCGGTGGACACCACGTTGTTCAAGGGCGAGAAGGGCTCCTTCATCGGCGTACAGATGGAGGGAGGCTCCTCACACGCCTGCACACACAGAAAAGTGCCGAGATGAGACATTAAGCCACCATTGTAGTTCGCATAAACAACAAAAGAACGCCCCCCCCCCTCCCTCTCCACCCAGCCCACCTCGGTCAATTCTGTTTGGATTGCTGTGGTTGCTTTCCAAATGTAACCACCAGAGGGTGTGCTGCGCCTAACACTGTGAAAGAGTGATGCCGCAATGACTGAAGGCCCTTTGGGTGTGAGAACTCAAGAGTTCCCAACAGCCCTTGTTACAGCATTGACATAAAACTCAAGGGGAAAAAAAAACCCCAACAGACACGAGGCTAAAAATAGAAAAGGTCCTTTTCCTTTCAAATGAAGTAAAGCGCATTCTTACCGCCTCCTTTCACAACATCTCCAAATGAAACGGATCTCACCATTGACAACAATCAGGCTGAAGTTTCTATAAATAGCATCTCGCGAATGCCGCAGACTGCGTCGGGATAGGAACATATGCGCTGCGCGGGGAATATACATTTCAGGCCCGTGCACAATAGATCATAAACAGACTCCAGAATTCAGTACTCATGGCAACTAATGTGACGGCTATTTCATGATTCATGAATGCAGAGGTGCGGGAGAAACAGAGAGAGATGGAGGAGGATATTACATCAGGAGCCAACATTATGTCAGCACAAGCATCCGAGCGCCCCCCCATTCCACCCCACCCCCTCTCCAGTTCATCCACGCACCAAACCAGCACAGATGCAAAGTCGTGTCAAAGTTGGATTATATTTATCAAGTTGCTAACAGGCGATTCACATAAAGTGTTGTTTTGCCTTCAAAAATTACATTTTTTTTGTAAGTGAAATGAGTCCATTTTTCACAAGATCAGCTATATCAAAAATATTTGCTGAAGTCAAATTTTAAAAAAATTATCTTTTCAAATTTGTTGTATGCACCCTCACTAGTCTAAACCTGGTCTTCTGATTAAATTGCGTTTGTGGACTATGAATTCAGTCGAAAAATGTGCCTGTTTTTTCATCCATGTCAATGGGGGGCCACTTTGCCTTGTACTGCCACTTGCTGTCGACTGAAAAATAACATCACAGCGCAGGTAACAACTGTCGCGACTCACCTGTTTTCTGGATTTGGTCATGCGTTTACAAGCAGAGTTCTTCGGAAGTGGCAGCGTGATATATTTTCAGTCGACTGCAAGTAGCAGAACAACGCAAAATGGCCTCCCACTGAGATGGACGCGAATGTCCGTACGGGATTGCCTATTGATTAGGGATAGCGAAGAACGCCACAGTCCGGCCCGTCCTCGCCATAGTTTTGCACACGAAGCGTCAGCAGCTCGTATCTCAAGTTAAAAAGAGGGTTTTGTGCTTTGTTAATGGAAGAGGCTAAAAATATCACAAATGCATCGATCACTCTATTAATTTGGGGGGGGGGGGGCCAGCAACCGCATAAAAAGCCATGTTTTGTTTCGTTTAACTCGCCAAAAGTGCGTCGCAAGTGAATGTAGTTTCTTGGGCATATGAGCCGTAAAAACAAAGAAACAAGTCAACTATTTGAAGCTTGCTGAACTGAGCTCTAGGGAAATACTTATCCAAGCTCTGTCTAAAATACTTGTGTAACTTCTGAAGCCTTTTATTTGTTCCAAAAGTGTGCCACTGTCGGACCAAACTCACAAAAGCGTTTTCAAAGTTGCTCCACTCTTGAAAGCCACGCGCACCTTCAAAGTTTAACCCCCAACCCAAACTCCAGCCCCTCTCTCCCCCTCCGGCAACCCCACCACCCCGACCTCATCAAGGCTGGGTTAGTACTCTTCTCTTCCCCTCAGTGGCGTGTGGGGGAGGCTGCTAGCTCTGGTTAGTCAGTGCCGTGTGTAAAGGAGCCCACGCCAGTGCTTTAAGGCACAGCGGAAATCTGGTTTGCTCCCAGCTGCTGCAACAGTAATTACTGTCCTCTGGTTGCTAAGAGATGCTTCCTTTTGACTTCTTTTCACCCCCCCCCCTTCAAGTGTCACCCCCCAGTTTTCCCCGTCAAGCTGCACAAAGTATGTACAAAGTACGTGCGTGTGTCTGCGTGCACGGGATGCCTGCAAACATACCAAGTGTTTACGTGAGGAAGAGACGACAGTGGAAGAAGTGAAGAGGAATAAAAAGAGCAGGAAGAAATGACTTTGCTTTGGATTCGTTTGTGTGTGTGTGTGTGCGCGCGTAAAACACAGAAAGAGAGCGAGCGAGCGAGGCCAGAGAGTCTACCGAGAGAATGTCATAAACCAGCTCCAGCTGGAGAAATGCAGCAGAGAACTTAAAAAGCCAGATGACAGCTGTATGTGTATGTGAGAGGAAGACAGAAAGGAGCAAAGGATGGCGGGAGGGGGGGGGGGGGGGGGGGGGGGGGAAATCAAAATGAGAAACAGACTCTGGCTTCCTTTTTGAAGCGCTCGCCTAAGCCCCGCCATTCAAAGGCATGCGTGGGGGCCAATCTGGAGCTGATCTGACCCCAGAGATGTGGCCGGGGGGTGAGGGAGGAGAGGAAGGGAGGGAGGGAGGACAGAGAATGGGGCTGTGAGGGCTTAAATGAGGCAACCTGGCCTTGCGCGAGCACCAGGAACATCCCGTGCACTTCCGTCGTCACATGGCTTCGGAACAGAAAGGCCTGAGGTCAGCCTGATTCATCTCATTGGCAAACGATGAGTTAAAACAGTAAACTGCTTTATTCATAGTCATAAAAGCCCACTTTGTGACCTAAGATGCTCCACGTTATCCTGCCCATCCTGTTCAAAGGAGCTGAACGGCCCGTGAAAACATGTTTTGTTAACGTGGCTGTCAGAACTGTCCTTCCAAACACATTTTGTGTCAACAGGGGTGCGCATAAGCGGTGCATGGCAAATTGAATAATGCGCTCCAGTTCAAGTCTGTCATCGTGCTTTTACGCACCGGAATAAGACCGCTCAGGCCGTCATCTTGACTGCGGTCGGGCTACGCAGCCTTAATTCAAAGTCAAGTCAGCCGCCACAGCGATTTTCGAAGGCCGACTTCAAAATAAAAGCTTGGTGAGGCGTTGATATCCATGTGCGGTTCAACTTTGTGCACTTTTATTTTGAAGTTGACCCTCACGTATTGTACAACCGTTGTTGCACCGGGTGGCTCGACTCAATTGGCACCGGCGCTAACAACTACATTCACCGTAATAGACGTGAGCAAACGCATCGTCGGAAAGCCACCGCCGAGACTGTTGTCCCCTTGTCGATCCTCAGGGGGCGGAGCTACAGAGTGGCCATGGGTGTGGCCACCCTAAAGTATTCAGTTTTTTGGTAAAGAACATTCAATTCTTGTAGTCAGTCAATCAACACGATGACTTTTACGCCATAGCAAGCATGGCTGAGGAAAATATGGGTTTCTCATACCACCCAGACGTGGTTTCATGAAATAAAAACATACCAATCTCGCACACACATCCGTCATACAAGCAGGAAGTAAAAAGCAACGTCATTGTGGAGAATGAAGGGACTTTTGTGTCATTGTGCTTTTTAGATATCATTTGAATGAATGAGCCATTGATCCTATGCAAAATGTCGGCGGCTATCTGAGGCAGCTGATGACTCTTAATGGCTCTTAGCGAGTGAATCAGTGCGTGGGATTGAAGTAAATTATGAAGCCAAATAACTCTTGGTTAAAAAAAACGTTACCTGTTACTGCTTTTATCCGATTACTCAATAGAATAATCGATTGTCAAAATATTCATATCGTAAAAGCCCTACTCAATGCCGCTGTCAGCTCTCTATTGTGGTCCAACAAGAAGTCTTTGTGCTCCGAACGTAAACATGAAAGTGCCCCTCGCCTTGGCTCAAAGGTGTGTAATGGAGCCATATTCAGCCACGGCAAAATCAGTCATGGCTATAAAAGCAAGCAGCCAGCATAACTTCAGTCAACTTAAGCAATAAATTACAACTTCCTGTTCGTTCTAAATTAAAGGCAGAAGTTGGCGGGGTAGGGTCGGTTGGGGGTGGGGGAGGGGTTGTGAATGATTTGGATGTGCCGTGTCACGCATAGCTGAGTTGTTCTTCATGTCTTCATGGGTAAAAACAAGTCATTTCTGTGGCGTTTCAGCATATGCGTGGAGAGGAAGCGGGTCGAGATCACCGTCTTGAACGCAAACGTGGGGTCATACCGTTGTGGGGGTACCACTGCGGTTTCCACAAGGCTCACACGTCAATCCTGCACTGCACTTGAGTCCAAACTGTCCAATGACTTCATGAGGCCCCGACACTGTGCTACTGCTCGCTCAGTCGGTCTCCACTTGCAGAACTTGCGACCGGCTCACTTCTGTTTCCCTGCAGCCCAGGTCTGCGACCGCAACATTCGGATGCCAAATCACCATGGTGACTCCCTCGGTGGCTCACGCGCTGAACCTTGTGAACACCTCCCTTCTCCCCTTGCTGCCTAGCAACAACAGTACCATTGGATTTCCTGTGTGTTCAGCCTGATCCCTTAAAGAGGAACTTTGCCACAGGAACGGGAACACGTCACACTCCCCCCATCCCCCTATTTTTAAGATACTGAGGAATGGGGGTTGAGTGGGGGGGGGGGGTTGGAGAGTGGTGAACCGTGGTGATGAACATGTAGCTGAGCTCTAATGAGTTGTGAGAGGTGTAGCGGGATATCAAACCATACGAGGTGGCATGCCTTGCGCTCAACAGTCAAACTTATGAATCATAACATACCTCAATATGTACAAGTGGGCCAAGTCACACAATACTCGTGCATGACATTGTGTGAGATGTCATCACAGCATGCAAGCGCGGCGTTTTGCATGGCTTTTGCAAAACCCTATTAAAAAAGGCCAAGGCTGCACTCGGGTGTTAGGAAAAACATAAAACAGAAGTTATATGAAGTAAGCCGATTCATTTGGAAGTGCCATCGTATGCACCATCACCTCTTCAAGTTAGGTCATCTCTTTTTAAACTGGTCTGACAATTGGGTTTTTTTGTTTTTTTTCCCCCCCAAAAGTGTGGCAAAACACCTTCACATTACATCACTTTATTAAAGTTTACATGTTAATATTAACAGTATTTAACTTACTACACCTGAAAGGAAGGTTTCAAAAGAGCTTCCATTCCAATCTTGTACAGTTTGTTCTATTGCCATTACTTCAAAAGAGGGGCAAATTCTCAAAAGTCCAAAACAGACGGACGGGAGAATTTTTTGAGCTGCTCTTGAACATGAGCGATATGGGAAGAACTGCATCCCTTCATTGTGCCTGCATGTGCACCTCAGCAGTGCTCGTCATCATCAAAGCGATGAAGGAATAATGCACGGAATTGGAATTGTGTTGCCACATCATAAAGAAATGGATACAAATTGTTCCAAGAACAACACTCACTGGTAGTGCGTCCTCTTGAGCATCCCCTTCACCGAATGATCGACAGCCTAGAAAGGGAAAAAAGACACACACACACACACACACACACACACACACACACACACACACACACACACACACACACACACAATTATTGAAATGAATCTAAAAAAATTAAACACACTTGTGAAAATCAATTTGGGGATTATACGCAGAGTTGAAATAAATTTCGCGACTTGACAATGCAGTTTGACTGTCCAAAACGTGAGTTATTTTGCAAGATGAAGCAATATTCTCCTCAAGTCAGGCCAGAATGAGACGAGACTCTTCTATCCGACTGCAGCCAAAATGGGGAAATGAAAGCTGCTTTGTGTCAGTGGGGCACACGGAAGTTCATGAAATATGCATGCCACGAAGAATGTAACCTGACCTTTGCTAAAACGCCATGTGCCATTTTCAGAAGAAAAGAAGAAAACACCTGTCTACAGATGCTGGAGACTGCCATCTTGCGTTTCAGATATCAGGGTGACCGCATTTGGACTTTTTCGTTGTGTTATTGAACTTTTGACAAAAAAAAGGATTTGATTTTTGTTTCATATAATAAAAGTGTTACATTGACACCACGGCTTGTAATGCATTTATTTTTGATTGTTGATGTACAACAAATTCTTTCAGCCGATTATTCAGAGTGAAAAAAATCAACTTGCCAGGCACTTTTTCCCTTTCTTGTACAAATCAATTCATTTTCTCATTTCATGTGACCTACATTCAAGTTGTTGTCACTAGAATTTTTAGCAGGGAAAAAAATGTGCGGGTTGCTGTGGGGGAAGGGGGTTCCATCATCCGCAAACCCCCAAAAGCAAAACACTAGTACTGCCACACCAAACACCACAAACATGGCGGACAAGCTGCACTGAGAATGACATATTTTGCCCTGCAAAGTTCTCAATGAGAAACACATGAATTACAGTATTTAATCCCAACAGAGCAGGACCGGAATATATATCAGTCTCGAGCCTTATGACTCACCAAGCCTCACTGTTGTTTATCTTCCCTGCAGTATTATGCGCAACAAGGAATATGGTCCAACAAAAATCTGGCAATAAGCACATCATATTTTATCAAGACAAAGCCCGTTTTGTGCAACAATCCCACAAAATTGGGGCATCAGAGCCATAACCGAAGGCCCGGCATTTAACCACCTTTGTTTTTTTATTCAGAGAGCCAGACAGCCATCTTTGTTTTCAAAACAACAAAACGGAAGAAATGAGTGTCGGGTGTTAAAATTTGACAAAACAAATCCCCTGATGCGCTGGGAGTATCTTAACTCTTTTACGGCTCTGATACAACCTCATACTTTGGTCGCCTCCGTTTTGCGTTGGTGCGTGGAAAATGGCGGCTTTAACAGTCACAGTCTTCAAAGCTAGTTGATATTATTGGCTCATACACCTTATATAACTGACAACGTGATCTCGCTGGCTTCGGCGAGTGAACACACAGCCCCACTGTGTCTGATAAAAGCAAAGCTAGTGTTCTTTTGACCCGAGAACCATAAAGATCGGAAAATGGTTGCAAGCCGGGGTCATGCACAAAATGGGGATTTAAAACAATTCCTCTGTGGTGAAGGGGAGTTATTATTACTTTTCCTATTCTGTGTGTGTGTGTGTGGGGGGGGGGCGTGGGGGGGGTCAGTTGGTCGCAAAAGATGACAACACAACAGGACATTAGTCCTCAATCACACGCAGAAGGTCTGCGTGCAGTTCTTCAATGCCGGGGAGGAGGCAAGAGAGCGAGAGACAGCGAACGCAGCACGACTCGGCTCTCGGAGCCGCCTTAGCCATGTGCCCGGCGTTGCCATGGTAACAGAGGACTGCAGGACCGCTACACACACGTGTGTGTGTGTGTGTGTGTGTGTGTGTGTGCGCGCGCGCACGTACATTCACAGGGGCGCAGCATATTCTCTCGCCTACCAACACAACACGGGCCACCTCCGCCGCAACCCTCCTCCGCCACCCTCGCCCGCACACATTGACGAAGCGAAGCGACCGGCAGCGGAGCAATGCGATGGGAATACAGAGCAACCTGTGTGTGCGTGCGCACGCGCGTGTGCACTGAGGACAGCGGCATTACACAACAGTGACAGAATACAGAGGATGCCAGGACACTGAGGACAACAGAGGAAGGAGGAAATGGGGGGAGAGAGAGAGAGAGAGAGAGAGAGAGAGAGAGAGAGAGAGAGAGACCGTTCTCTGCTGTAGCTGATATTCATAGAGTTGAAGTGTTTCCTGTGCAGATGTACTGTACAACGGAGAACATTTTAACACCCTTAAATTGGACTGATTTTACGACGTCTTTGGCATTTGGTGATTGGAGACCAAATGAAAATTGACCTTGCGTTTTTGTTTGTTTTTTTTTTTGGGGGCGGGGGGTTGTATTGGGCAGATGGCGCTAACAAGATAACGCAGGAGGGGTCGTGTTTGGCATTCAGAGACATCCATAATCTCTCATCAGCCCACTGTATCTCAAATGGATTACAGGCTAACATGAACAAAACAGTCCAGAACAGGTGCCCACCTTGGCTGATGTCCTCAATGGCCCTGCGTATGCCTCGATCGAAAGCGCGAGCGTCAGCAGGGCTCTGGAAGGTCAGCCCGAACTTTTTGTCATTGATCCTCCAGTGATGAAAGATGGGGTTGATCTTGTTGTACACGAGGCCCTCGTGCAGCACACACTCCAGCACCACCTAGAAAATAAAACAAATGACACTCAATAGAGCCTCGGGTCGTTTTTGCCTACAGGCCTTGACAAAGCAACAGAAAGATCTCGAACACTGTTTTTTTTTTTTTTTTCCCAGTCGCCCAAAACTGCAAAGGTGAAAAGGTTCTGGGCAAGCCACTCAACTTTAGTATTTTCTGGCTCAAGACACCAAACTAAATTAACAGGGAGACGAAACAATAATTTTATGTATTTTTGAGGCCAATTTGTAAACCATCTTCAGAATGGTGTTCTCTCTTTAATTACAGATGAGTTGGAAAGCAGCAGTGCGGGAAGAAGGGGCTTTGAGTGGGTTTTTGGAGGCAGACAGTCAAAAGTGTGCGGTGGAGAGACACCGTATTTCCAAAGCCTATTATTAATCAGGGCTACTGAGCCACCTCCTGGCCTTCCTCTAGGGAAGATTATGTGAAATGAGAGACAGCCATTACAGTCTTTGAGGTTTGGACAAACGCGCACGCGTGTGGCTTAAAGGGGGTGCGAATGTGCATGTGCAGGCGCGGCGACCTGGGGGTAACAAATGCAAAGCAAATTGGGTTTAGTTTTCCACTGTATGGTTTGGATCTGGTAAATAATTTGATAGTATCGCTACAGATGTGATAGCTACTGACCGCCATGCTTTCATTTTTTATGTTTCCATTGTAAAGGGTCCCAAAAATTTCATGAAATGCAATCCCACTATGAAGCAGACTTTTGTTGCGGTTTTGGGTATGCTCGTGAAAGGTGCAGTGAGGTAAACTACTCCTATTTGATTGTTTGATAGAATTGTTCATCTTCTCCTTTTTTTGGTTTAAAGTGACCCCAAACATTGGATATCATTGAGTGTTCCGCTAAGGAACAAATGTTACGCAAACAGAACGCGATAAAGAGTAAATGTGCAAATGTGGTTTTAAAAAAAACATTTATAGTGATGAGGCAGAAATGTTTGTGTCGATTCACTTGTGTGGTCCACTCCGTCGAGTTTTTTTTTTCCCCCTAGCCATGGTACTGAGTTTGTGTCATTGGGGAATCACACGCTGTCTTGATGACAAACTATGACATCACACCATTTTTAGTAGCTGATGATGGCTTAAGTTATTCAACACTACATTTGATCTTAGGGACACTTTAATACATTATTTTATAATAATTCATAAATAAACTAGGAATTTATGATTGCAATTAATTGTGGTGTAAACCGACTGGTCCTGCACTATTGTTTTCCTTTTTTTCTTTGGTGTGAAGACAACCAATGCTGTCGCAAGCGTATCACAAAATGTTTTTCTCTGCCTTCCAAAGAAAAAATGGGCCAAGGGTTAAGATGGAGGGAAAAAGAGAGGGATGGACCCTGAGGAGGACGGTGCGGGATCAGGTGATTAAAGGGGAGGAGGATGGGGTGTCTGTGCCTCTGGGGGCGGATTGCGGAGTGCGAGACTGAAAGGAGCCGCAGCAGGTAAGATGAGCGCCACATGGCGAGGCCCGCACAGAAACGTGAGGAAGTATCGCGTGTTGCGAGGAAGGACAGTACTCAACGTCGTATTCCACAAACCAGCCTTTTGGAGGGTGACGGTGCAGGCGCCGTTGCACGAGGGGGGGCAGAGATAGTCGGAGTTGAAATGTGCCGGGAGGCAGACAAAAAGTAAGAGAGGGAAGATCTTTGAACTCTTAATTTTGTCAAGCGCTCGCAATTAAGTCTTGTGACATAATCCGTCAATGTGATTGAGGATTCTCTTTCATGTGTTCTGTGACCATTTACATCTTCCAGATTTCTAGCCGAGGCAAAGAGCAAACGCCACAAAACAGTACCGCCGTCGTTTGTGTTCACGGAGTCACAAGCTAGTCACACAGGCCACATTATTGGCGCTCAAAATTTACAAGCTGGGTCACACCGATAGTCTCACAGATGATAAACTGGATTCGGCTGGCAAAGCTCAACAAACAAGTACCATGCACGTTTCGAGCGAGAGAGAGCGAGAGAGAGAGAGAGAGAGAGACATCGCCCAAAAGAGAAGCTAATTTTGATGAGCCGGGAAGGCGCCAGCATCACAGCTGTGAGCAATCCGAGGGACGCTGAGACGAGCAAGGCAGTAAGCTCAACACAAGATCTGACACAAATCTGTGAGCCGGTGCCGTAAGACCCCGTCAACCAATTAGGTTTTTTTGAGAGTCAGAGTGATGGAGGGGTGGGGGGGGAGAGAGAGAGAGAGAGAGAGAGAGAGAGAGAGAGAGAGAGAGAGAGTGAGAGATTGGTGGCTATATGGAGAGCCAGCTGAGTCATCACTGGGTACACTCTGTGCCGCATCACTGCGCATCACAGTCACATCGCACCACCTTTCCTCATTCTGTCTAGCGCCGCCTATGATGAGTGCGTTTGGACGGAATTGAGCATTTTCTCCTCCCGACACCTCTCATACCCACCAATAGCATCCGTGGGTTTGTGCGGCGTTCTTCTCAAGCTATTTAAGGTTACGATCAGGGATGGGAACGATTCCAGACCTTTCTTTCCAAAGATTAGCCTGTCTTTGTTGAGACATAACAAACAAATTAAAGAGCGATTGTCAGCATTATTTTGAGAACAGGAGAGAACTCAGTCAAAGCTTAAACATTTGTGATCAAATGTTTTCACCAGGACTATCTGTAACTCACGTATCTTGAGAAATGGTTATCCTCGCTATTATTCCATCGATTGCTTGGGTAATCAACCCCCCTCAGCCCTCTGGCTGCATCGCCCAAAAAATGTCTGACGGTGATAAGCGCACATCTAAAAATAACACAGAAGTTTGCCAAACTTAATGTATATTAACGCTATACTCACTGGCAGTTAGCCAAATTTTCCCCCCATATTCCATATTTTGTTTTTGCTTTTGAGTTACTGACGTTTAAGCATAATTTTTTTTTAATCCACACATTTATTGACACTGGATGCACTGACGAGGTGAAGCGTCCCCAAATTTTCTGTTCGAAAGGGCTTTTTCTTTCAAAAACCGACACCGGGAAGTTGCACAGCAGCAAACAAACAGCAACGGACCCGCAGAAGACGAAAAACGCAACCTCCTTGGTGAAGATAATTACGGTATGTCAATAACTTCTGCAGTCAACTCGCTGATGGTTTCAAACAATACTGCGGTAAGAGGAACAGATAATGTCACGCCCCGCTGTCTTGCATGACTAACGTTCGTCGTCTGCGGGTTTGTCTGCAGCGCTCGTTTTTCTTGGACTCGTCGCTGTTGTCGAGCCGATGCCCTCAAACAGTCGGCGGAGCCGCGGCCTATCCCAGGCAGCCCGACAGACCTACATATGGCCGCGTGTTTGTTGTGGTGACTGGGGTCGATGCTGGCAGCGAGCGGGGTGTTGTACCGCTTCCTAGAACAGTCGCCGGGGTCTCCGTGCCATGTGTATGCGCCGGCCTGTACGACAGCATTCCCGTCACACCCTTTACTGTGCCACACACACACACACACACACACACACACGGAGTAACGCACTTGGAGGCCTTGAACACAAAATGCATAAAATGGTCTCAGTCAAAGGCGATTCAGACGCCGGGCAGCCAACGAGCCGCCAATGTCGAAGCATTAAAAGGCCACCAGAGCCCCCGCGTCACTATGTTTGCCACAGCCTTCTGACATCACTTTCATAACCACAGTCTGGATTATCTAAAAGAACCTACTCCATCACTTTTACATCCGGCACACAGCTCTCGGGACAAGAAGGTCACGTCGGCTAAACCCGTAAGGATTAAGATAGGGACGCAATTACATTGATTGGAGGGAAGAAAGAGTGTGACAATGTGCGGGATCGTGACTTTAAATCGGTGTTGTACGGGTTAATAGTTAGCAACAAAAAATAAAAAATAAAATCCACTTGTAAACAACTGAAACAAGGAAATTCCAGGCAACATCAGGACGTTATGAACCAAAACGCGACTATAATTTTATTCAAACTTGGCAGAATAGATCGTCCTACTGTAAAAGCCAGCAGTCTTATCTATGTCGTTTTTATGAAAGGTGGGAGGGGATTTTGAAGTCGTCCGTCTTACAAATTTTCTGGGCGTTAAGAGACGTAGGAGCGCGTCGGTGTGTGTTATGGTACTCGGCAATGTTGTGTGAAGGTGAAATACCCGATGCTTGCTTACTTACTGTGTAATATTCACAGCCACAGATGTGGTCGTTGTCGAACAGTGGTCAGCAACCTTACTGAAAGTCAGAGCTACTTCTTGGATACGGGTTAAGGGCTTGTAGTTTGATACATCCTTCTGAAATATACATGCTCAAATTACCATTCGTTATGTTATTATCAACTCATTCACTCCCAAAGACGTTTTTAAACGTCTTTTCAGACTTGGTCCAGAATTGGCTGGTACTGAATGAGTTAATCAAGGCTATTATGCATGTTAAAGAGGTTAAGGATCATCAACAAACACGCCATTTTATTTCTACACATCTCTGCAAGCGTTTGAATTTTCATTGGATCACAATTACAAGAATGTTGGGAAATCGCAATGTCCCAACACGGATGAGCTCTTGGAAGAGCAGGCCGACGGTCTAATCGTGTCCTGATCGTTCGGGACAACCCGGAAGCACTGGGTTGCTTGTTCCTGCGGTAGAATCATCAACTCTTAGGCCAGACTATGTAGTTCAGTTGGTATTGTTAATTTTAAATCTTTTCTAACAAACAGTTTTTCATTTTTAGTGCTCTAATTTTATTTGATATCTTGTACTGTATTTACTAGATTGTAGTACTCGATATATGTTGTTTTCTGTTCTATTTTAGCTTGTCGGGACTGCGTGGATTCACTGATTAACTAATAAAAAAAAAAAACAACAACAGTGATATGTAAAAACAAGTACAGTAGAGAAGATATAAAATTGATGCGACAAATCGTGATACATTGCGATATAATAGACGTAATTGTAATCGAACTGAACTACGAGACGAGTGAAGGCTTCGGCCTTCACGGTGCAGAAATTGTGCACCGTCTCTGCATAGAATACGCTGAAGAGGAATAGGGTGTCATTTAACAAAAATTGAAGGTAGAATGGATGACATCATATAGTGGGAGTGGGAGAAGGCGACTCACTGCCAAAAATAACTTTTTTTTGACTCAGAAAATATTATGAGTAATGAGTGCGACATCAATGAACTGTAGTAGGAATAAGCAGCACATCGTTGTCTTCATAAAGACGAGCGGCTGGAAAAAAAACCAAAAAAAAAAAACCGGGAAAGCTCATTTTGGATGCTGATGTGTTACATGTCACACGTCTGTCTCGGAATGTAACACTATCTCACGCTCCAAAGCTCACTAATGAGTGACTGTCACGTGTTTTTCTGAAAAGATCCGTCGCAGTCTGTACAGGACACACCACAAGTGAGCACATTTTCAGGCATTTTATTTGTTTGGTACTAATTACAAGGTTGAGCATATGTTTCCACGATATATTTCATCCTTTGAGCTAAGTAGGTTTCCCACATCCTTCATCCATCATTCTCTCCTCCTGAGTAATGTGCCCTTCTCCCAGATGATGTAATCATGCATCACAGCATCACGCAGTTTGCTCCTATTTTCAGACACCTGCGCCGCAGAGGCAAGTTGAACAACGCTTCCTGGGCGAGCGCTTTTGAGGGTGACACAGGCACGGGGGACGGTGGTGACGTCATCCCGAAGAGACGTACCCTTTCGGATTGTTATATTTGAGTGAGCGCGAAAGAGGGTGAATGACGAAATAGGGAGAACGTGTAGGTCAAATAACACACGGAACAGTGGAACTTCCTCAGGATGAACACAATTCATTCGTGATGCTGGTTGACGCGTTGCAACGTGAATTCATTGATCATAAAACGTTTAACTAGACAAGCCACGTTTTGATGCGTGGTGCGCCGATCGATCGACCGATTTTCGTGGAAAAGTATGTGATTGGCATGTTGATCAATGTCTTTCATTGCCGATCACAAAGACTGATCACCCACAGAGACAATAATAAAAACAATATATGTTGATACATTTTCTGCACTGTCAATTTGAAATAATGACCTGGGGGGGTTTTGTATATCAAAGGGGTGGAAATTTGGACAGAATGTCTTTTTTTATTCATCAATCAAAAAAGTAATTGACAGATGAGTCAATTATTAAAATAATCGTCATTGAGCAGCTCTCAAAATAAAAAAAAAAAAAGTGCAGCTAATCCATGTTTTTGGTAACAGTTGATCTCAGAATCCTTGTTCGAAACACCCCTCATTTGAAACATTCCAAATTGTCACACAAGTATAAATATAAGTTGGCCAGCTTACTAATAAATCAAAAATAAAGTAAAACTACTCAGGCTTTCAAGACACGCGGCGTAGTAAAAATGCGATTTGCCGGTAAGCTCCTTTGGTCATGTTTCCGTGAGGTTTTAGTGGAAACTCCAAAGAATTTGGCGTTTCCGCTGTATAAACAGCAATGGCTTATCACATATCCAGTACATCACTGAAGCAATGATCTATTCAGTAAAACCGGGCGGAAAGTTAATGATTAGGTCTAAAACAAGCATCGTTGTGGGTAAAAATGTGACACAAGTAAAGTGAGGTTTACATTCATTTGTCTGAGTATTTCATCTAGGGAGCGGAGGAACAGCTGCTGTCGCGCTATCCTCAGCATCAACAACTACCCACAAGGCCAAAAGCAAAACAGGGCCAATTGTTCTGGAAGTTGGAGGAAAACACTTAAATCATAACTATGGCTGCCAGAACACAAATGTCCTCCTTCCCTCTAGGACGCTCACAAACATGAGACGCCTCAAATCCGCAAATCCACAGCAGCTGCATGATGGCATCGTGTCAACATGAACCCAAATCTCAAAAGGAACGATTCCAGCACCCTGTGGAGTCTGCAATGGGCCGTCGAAGCGGCGACTACCGGATCATGTCTTCCTTACCAGTTTGTCTTTGAGCCGCTCCCCCTTGATGTAGAACTCCACCGCTGTGGGGCTGGGGCTGGGACTTGGACTGGGCGTCGGACTGGCGCTACAAGGGCTGAGGTTGCCTGTGCTGCCCCGGGTGCCGCCGCTGTGGGTGCTGCCACTGTCCTCCGCCGGGGTGACCTTGTAAACGGTAACGCAGCTGAGGCCACCGCCGCCGAGGGGAAGCCACCCACCGCTGGAGTCATCCCGCGTCATGACCACTGCTCTCACACGCGCATAACTGTCACTGCAGAAAGAGGGAGGAAGCATGTAAAGGCTTGGGCACGTAACCGACATAAAACTGGAAATCAATTATTTAGTGTGTATGTTATAATACAGTTCAACAATGTCAATGTCGGATAAAAACCCTTGTATTGTACCGTGTATTGTTCGGAAGTAGACTAAGCAAAAAAAAAAACATGTTTCACAAAAGCATGTGGCCTCTGTGCCGTGTATTGTTCGGAAGTAGCCTAAGCAAAAAAAAAAAACATGTTTCACAAAAGCATGTGGCCTCCTTAATCAAATGGTTACAGGCAGAGAAACAAATGGGTTTAAATATTCGCCAAAAAGAGCTATTATTACGCAGACGACAAACTTTGAAATTTGCACATGTCAATTATGTTGCGATAAAACCAATATAAAACATAAAACTAATGCTACGTTCCGCATGTGAAATGTTGTGTTGTCTCACGTTTGTTCGCGGGGGTGACTACACCCCGGGGTTACTTCGAGCGGACATGAGGATGGGCTCTCCTCCTCCGACAGGGGTGGGGGAAGTTGAAACGTCGCTAGTCAATCTGGTGAACTGTGTGTGTGTGTGCAAACAATTTGTTTGCGGCCTATGATACAAGGCCTACAGCTATTATTCCTGATACACAAATGCACTACATTGCTGCAAACAAATAGTAATTCAGAGCATGTTTAACGCCCCCTGGAAAGTGAGTGACCATTTGTTCAGGCGCCACAGTTAATTTCCAACTGATGTGTTATTTCCACCCCCCCCCCAAAAAAAAAACAAAAAACCTCAATTCATTTCTTAGCCACAAAAAAAAAAAATTAAGATGATTTGCTTCCATCTTTAGCAAGTCCATGTCACCGCTGTATAGACTGTACGACTGTGCAGGTACTGGCATATAATAAAAATAATTAATCATAAATCCGATCTGCACCCGCCCCCCCGGCCTCTCGTTACATTTTCAGCTGGCTCACCAGCGCTGTAGACTCACTGCATCTTCACCTGCGGTCAGATCTTGGCTGATTAGATAACGCAAACTGCATTAGGCCACCGGAAATGACAAAGGTCAGCGTGTGCTGAGGGCAGTGTTTTGCACGGACTCTTGGTAACATATTAAAGATTTGAGAGGCATACAGAACCGGGTAGAGAATGTGACACATGACTGGGCCTCGGATGTCGTGACTGTTCCGCCTCTTCGAAACCGCTTTCCGGAATAGCCACCATCGGTGACGGTGTCAATTTGAGGATCACGAAAGTTACTGAGTGACAAGAGATAATGCACCTCGGTATGCTCCCGTTTTAACTGTCCCTCGGGATCTTGTCAATTCAACGTGGGGTAACCTTTGCGCTCCTGCCTTCCACACCCTTGGCAAAGATCATTGCCGGGATTATCAATTACCCATTCGTCTGTTGCATCAGACAGTTTTGTTCCGGAAATCATGTGGATAAACCGCGATACGGCCAGATATCAATCATAACATTTATTGGGAAAAAAAATTAAGCCTTATTTACCTATTAAATAAATCCGATGGCTCCGACCACATACTTCATTTACCCTAGCCACAAACTCCATATCTCAAACAAGAACGTGAGCTTCCCAGGCTAACTTGGTGACAAATTGTGTAGTACTTTGTATATTCTGCTAACACTAACCTGCACAGAATAGCAGGAAATTACAGTGACATTCGCTCCACGTTTGAACTTTTCTACTAAACCAAGCGGAGGTAGGAAGAAAATACTGTCACTTAGCCTTACATCACACCAGCATGAACTGACAAAAGCCCACAATGAACATCACATGGAACAGCCGAGTAAAAAAGAAAAAATCCCCAAATATTTCCAATAAATGGTATAATTTGCGGTCTTTCCATTACATTCCTGTTTTTGTACAGTGCCGCTGCAGTTGTCACATATTTCAGTTCCCTTTTTCTGCTTTAACGATGACTGGTAGAAATGTCTGAACACGAAGTTCTTCTCAATCATATTCTTGAAGGTACAACGATTCGGATCATACCACTCAGCTCTCAAACCACAGGATGTTTGCTTTCCAAATATGATTCCTGTCTGTAGAGTTAAATGTGCTTTTCCCCCTAACGCAGCCCCAAACTTGGACAGCATTGGCCCCGTGGTAAGAGAACAACAACTTCCCTTACAAGTTTTCAGCACCACCTTGTCTGGTCACACCTTTTTACGGCACGGAAGAAGCTGTGCTCCACTTTACACAATAAAAATGCATTTTGGAACAATTTACAAGAATTAAGACATGGAAATACGGGGGCCGTTAAAGCCCCACTCACACACACACTTCAATAAAGAACATGGGTGTGATGGGCCCAGGAGGGACTGTCAGTCAGGCTGGGGTCCCTGGGGTGAACAGAAGGCAGGCGCTGGTGTCGCTCATCCATGACCAGGGCACAATGACCAGGATCTGACCCTTCAGAAGTACCATCTCACACATGCCAGCACAGGGATACTCACAGGGAGGAGGGGGATAGAGGGGTCTAGACCCCAAAACCAAGTTAATGTGTTTTTACTTAGCACTCATTCTGGTACAAGAAGCCAAAGAGGAACATCAGAGTTAAAAGAATGGTAAAGAAAAGGAGGAAAAGGTCTAATCTTTTTTTTTAGTCCAGAGTGCCAAACACACACGTGGAAATTTAGACCAGGATGGTGGGGACAAAGGCTGTCATCTATGCCCCTCGCTGGGAGCAAACAGTCCACTGAACACACAATCGAGAGCGGAAGCACATCAGCTGGCCTGGGCCCGTGAGTTGCACTGAATGGGGGAAAGAGGGATAAGGGTGGGTGGAAGAGAGAAAAGAGCCCCCCCATTCCAAATTATTCGAAGTTATTCTGCTGGATGACTGACTTCATTTCCGACGAAAAGCAGGAGAGAAAAACAGAGGGAAAAGAGGGAGAGGGGGTGGGGGGGTGTTAGGGGGAGGAAAATGTAATGGAGGACTGTGGGGGAAGAGGTGGTGGCGGATGGGAACAGGGTGGAGACCAAGGTGACGGTCAACAGCTCCCGACTTCATGTGAATGGAGCCTTTTCTATTCACAAAAAGGATGTGCGCAGGCTTTCGCCGCCTCTATAAAACGGGGCGTTTGCATTGAGGGATTTGGCGAGATTTGACTACCGTAGTTCGTCTAATGGATGTCGTGCCTCAATTAGTCACCGGGTGTGTCATCCACTTATAAATACTTGCCCTCCAAATTTACGCGCCTCCCTTTTCCTCCCCGGGAAAGAACACAGGATGTAACTGTACCTGTATACCTCAGTTCATGGACACTATTGTTCACACCAGGCTCTTGAGGGTCAACCTCTGAGCCCATTTGAACCTCATCGCTAAACAAACCAGCAGCACATCTCTGAAATATATTACAGCCTTAAGATGTTGGAAATGAGTTGCCTGCACACTACGAAAGATCATCTTACATTACTTGGAGACAAGACCTTTTACAACAAATCGAGTCGACTGACCGGTATGATCGCTCCGCAATACGATGTGTGTCCATATTTCACCATAATGATGAAGTCTAGTCTCCTTAAAACTCCACTTTCGCTTGACATGATATTGTTTCAAGCAATTTTTCAGAAACGTTTCAGTTCATTTGGATGAAAATTAAGAAGACTTCTCAATCCCTAAATGTGACCACAAGGACTCAGGGTGATATGGACTCAATATAATAGTCCAGCCATCTAAAGAAATGTTGCATTAAGATTTTGGAATTGTGGATGTAACGATTAAAGTGTCCTTCAGATAAGGCCTAGATTAACATGATCCCAAAAATGCAAATGGTTGGACTCTGCATTAAAAAGACACCTCCACCTGGAGCTGCAGGTGAATAAACAAACAGCCTGTGGCTCTTTCAATCAGAACTACAACATCTGCTGTTAGAGAAAGCAAGCGCATGGAACATGAGTTTGATGGCGTTATTATATATATATATATATAT